CCGGTCAGATTTGCGGTATGAGCTACTCGAACGATGACGCTCTGCAGATGCATTGCAAGGAGAGACACATCGTCAACCTTGGAAAGACAGATGCAGGATACAAATGCTGCTGGGAGGGATGTGCGCGTGAAGGGCATTTCACGCAAAAGAGCAAGCTTGAACGTCACCTGCAGACACACACCGGCTGTAAGTCACGACCTCATCATCTTCAATAACCAAATATGCTGATAATGCGTCTAGTCAAACCGGTCAGGTGCACTATATGCGATACCCCGTTGTCTGCCAAGCAGTCTCTTGCGCAGCACATGAGGATTCATACTGGAGAAAAGCCCTGGACCTGCAAGTTTCCCGATTGCAAAGCATCGTTCAAGCAGCAGAGTGCATTGAGTAAGTGAAATCAATATCCTTGGGTCCAAATAATTTCTAACTATGTTCTAGCAATGCACCAGCGAACCCACACAGGCGAAAAGCCACTCAAGTGCGAGGTTTGCGGCAAGGCGTTTGGCGAATCGTCCAATTTGTCGAAACACAGAAAGACGCATAACGTGAAGGGTGCTTTCAAATGTGATTTCTGTGACAAGGACTTTCATAGACTGGACCAGAAACGCAGACATGAGAAGATTCACCGTAAGGTCGCGGATGCGCTTAAGGCTGATAATTCTACTCCGTCTATCAAGAAGACACAGGGCGGTCGAGTTACAAAGGCAGCAGATCGAAGAAACAGTAAGTGATCAACGTGGACAAGGTTGATCGCTTCTCTGGTGGTTTTTGTGGTTCAAGGGGGGGCATTTTCACACTACGGATGGCTTTTTTCTTTGTCGACGTCTCATGAAATACCCTTATAGGCTCCAGGATACCGGACTGGCGTTTACATGGAGAAATGGATCAGGTCAGGACGGCATAACAGACTTCGGTGTTCAAGGCGGCGGCGAAAAGTTCAAGGGACTTGGACTTACTCTGACTTTGGTGGGCTTGGGAAAACATTCTGTTTTTCATGACGAATTCACGGTAGGTACGGTCAGCAATGAGGATAGAATTAGTATTGTAGCAATACAGTACTAGCAGTAATACCGTATGAATGACGCTTAATTGACGAAACATGTTGAGGGTGTTCTCCATGGCTTTCGAGTTGTATCTTTCTGTTTCCAAATTAGTGGACTTGGTTATGCCCGCACTCGGCCCAGAGGCCAATATTATCATTGAACGACAGATCTGTATCAATCCGTAGATGATTCTTTCGGGAGCACATATTCCACAGGTAAAATGGTTTTCCGGTCCTGCCATGGAAATCAGGGAAGGACGGGTCATTGAGATTCCGGTGATGGCTATCTATGTTCTGTCTCAGTAGGACTTACGCACCCTGTGGGCCATCACAGGCCATCACAACCCCAGGAACCGGGTTTGCGATCAGAGCAGGTGAGTGGGCAGCGACCCGGTCATGTTGTCAACCTTCTGCTCGGGGGCACGTATGAGCTAGGGAGGGGGAGAAGGCTTGTGCAGCGTTACTAACATATGAATGACATGACCACGATTGCCGCGCAAGGCAACAGAGCAGTGTTCTTGCCTTTTCTTTCGTAGGTTTTCATCCTGGTTCCGTGCTCCTGAGGCGTTGATGAATACGAGCTGGAGATGGTGAGAGTCTTTCTATGTGGTGTCTATAGTTTGCCAGTCTCGTCATCGCTTCAGCTTGTGACCAAGTATTACACGGCACTAGATATGACAGTGAATGTGATAGGATTGTCATGTGGCATGGTGGTGATCAGATTACAAACGAAGTCTTCACTCATCGGTACAGAAGGTGACTATGTGCGAGCTTATGTCCCACTTTTCGCCTTTATTCGCCATCCTGGCGAGGCAGCCAAGGAGTAGGAGACTTTGACGACAAAATTCATATCTGGCGAACCACGAATAAAACGTTCTGCGGCCTTCCTCACGAGTCAGGGCGAACAAGGTTTTCTCTCGTGAACGGTATCTTCCGAGAGAGAGGTAGTACGGTGAATGTAAGTTTGGAGGCGTTCTGTCAGGTGGAGAGGGGAATCGCTTTGGTCGTAGAGGGACATACCCGACGCGATGAACTCTCGGATGAGGGACATGGTGTACCTTGGGGGGGGGGGGGGCGTGAAGTTGGTAGATTTACCCTTCTGAACCCTACCCCTCGTGCCCCTTTCCCCCTTTTTCTCCCCTCCTGCCTCCTGGCGATGCTTCGGCGAGATTCTGTATTGTGGCTTCACGAAAGGGGAGGCATCACATGATGATGAAATTTGCCGCGTTGAGGAGAAAGTCTTGCGTTGGTTTGGGGAGGATCTTGTTCTTGGAAATGATGCCCTGAACTTGGCTGCGGGCGTTGTTCGTGATGCTCGACAAGTTTGGTGGCGGTTCAGCGGGTCTCAAGTGAGGTGGATGCTGATGTTAACCAAAAACCGCCATGGAATGGCAAGGCAGGCCTATTCTGTCTGTCTGTCGTGTTCGTGCCGATCGTGAAGAATCCTTTCAGCTCAGGCTGTCTTTGGACTTGATGTGCCTTGCCGACGAGAGTTGTTATCCATGGGTGGAGAGACTCGTAACAGAACGTGAAGTTGAAGCCTGTTCCTTACTAGGCTGAAATGGATGAGATAGCAATGAAAGTATTCCATGGGCTGACCTCGCTTCACTGACAATATTGTGAACTTCGCTTTTTCCATGACCGAGTGCTGTGTCCTGGTGTCCAGACCCGTTCCACCCATAGGAAGGCACCGAGGGTAGAGCGTTGGATGAAGCCTCAATGAGATCGCCAGAAGACGGCGTCCAATACCCGTAAACCAATCGTTGTGAGCGATTCCACTTCAGTATCCTTGTCGTCTTAATTCAACGTTAAGACAAGTAAAGACTTTGTAGAGTCTATACACATTTGACAAGAACTTGAGACGGCCCTCGAAACGTGCCTCCGTTATTCCTCACCACGGCATTAAGTATCTTATTTCATGGCATTGCACGTTGTATGGAGCCAAGCCTCGGGATATCATGTTGCTACTTCCTTTTTCTAGGCACGAGAAGATGGTCGTACTTGTGTTGGCGGGATGCCCCCTCCCACGCAACTTGCCCCATCCCGAGATCGATTCTTCTTATTGTCCGCACAGGGTTTCACATGGAGATGGAGGTCTGGGAAGAGAAAATGGGGTAAGCTGCAGGAAACTACAGGAGCTGCAGCAGCGTTTGTCTGGCTTTAATCTGGTCTACTAAGAACAAGCGTGCTGCGCTGAATAAAATTGTTCCAGTAGTAGTCGCCACTAAGAAGACTCTAGACGATATCGCCATCGGCGAGAAGGAAGTAGAGGTGTGCCTGTGGTGACGGGGACGGCACGACCACTCATCACCGACTAATGTCATATCATCGCGTGGAAGTGTTCATCTTCTGAACAGAATCATGGTTCCATGAGGTAATGTGCCTTGGTGTTCTTTGCTGTAGTTTGCGAATGAAATCGTGAGCTTCAGAGGCCAGTCTCGAGGGCGATGAAGTGTGGCGGAGGCTCTCGGATTGGCGCTTGTCATCTACCTACCACGTCGATATTCCGCGATAGAGACGCCAATCTCGTAAGGTAGACATGTGCCCAGATATTAAGCAGTTAAATGGGGGAGGAGGGCAGTAACACAACTTGAAATCAAGTCTAAGGCGTCGACATAAAAAATGGACATAGGCCATAGACAGTAGACATGGACGAATGAGAGGGGACTACAAGCTTGAGCATGGACATCGTCTGGCCTGTGTCTGCTTACTTCTCTTAAGCAATGGTAATCATCACACGTCATATATCATTGTATAGGGACTCCATCACATTTGAAGAAGAAAAAAGGAGCAAACTTTTGAAGTCGGGACATCTTTGGGCCCCATCATTTTGGCAGCTCTATGCTACCTCACACCACACACACCCGAGGGAATCCTCTCCCTCCCACCACGCAAGAAAGGAGGGGTGGGAAAGAACAAGAGAGGGGGATTCTTGTGAAGCCCATCCTTTTTCGTTTTTCGCTTGACCAATGTTTTGACCCGTCTTGAGAGAAATCCATTTCGTGTTTTGCAGCACTGGGGGGAGAAATGATAAAAGTGCAAATAAACCCTTAATTTCCCTCCGTGACCATGCAATGCATCATCGAGTAATTCGGGATCCCCGTGTGCCAAAAACGTGTTACGCCTCCGTAACCATTTTCATTGTTCCTCATCCCCAGATCTAACCCAGCAGCGGTCGGTCTAAATTTAAGCAGACTGTATGAAGAAGTCAGTTTCAATGTTTCCTAAGGATGCCATTCGTGATCTCGGCCAGGGAACATGAGAAGTAGCGCTCAACGGAGTGTCGAAGATCGTCCCCTCATGATGCGGCCTTCGTCAATCGCTCCTCTCATGGCTCCCTAGCCTCCATTCGAATGGCAGATATTCCGACTCTACTGACCTTGACGGCGAACTTGCGCTGGGGGAAGTGGGTGGTGCGCTTCTTGGCCTTGTCGGTGACAGCGCTGGCCTCCTTCTCGGACAATCTCCGGCGGATGGCACGGGTCTGCTTCGCGCGGAGGTCGAGGGGAGCGTACTTCTTGTTCTTGTAGAACAGGCGGAGCTGGGCGCGTTGCTTGGAGTTGATGACGGTAAGGACGCGAGCGATCGACTTGCGGATGTCGTGGCTGTAGAGCGGAAATTTTCACCGGTCAGTCCTCTTGGTTCCTCTTTTTTCGATCGACGATTCCTCCAATCAACTCGGATCAGGACAGGGGGGATCAAACGCACATCTTGTTCAGCTTGCTGCCGGAAGAGGCGATCTTCTGGATACGGAGCTGACCGAGCTCGGTCTTGAGCTCACCAAGTTGCTTGGTCAAATCATCCTTGTTCTTGCTCCAAAGGGCGACGGCCTTGACCTTTCCGGACGACTGGGACATGATGAATTCTCGTCAGCGAAACGGGTTCTCTTTTCTCCTATGCGGCTCCTTGCAAGCAGATCCTGCCGCCTCTGGTGTTCGCTTTTTTCGTCGGGCAGGGGCTAATTCGGGCGCGGGGTGTCGAGGATTCGGCGGGAAAGTTGCGTCGGGCTATTCGAGGATCGCCAATTCCATCAGGGAGAGCAAAAGGGGTTCACTCACCATCTTGACTGATATGGGGGGTGGCGCTGGATATCTGGGTTAGTATCGACACGTCGTGAGAGAGGCTGAGGTGATCGATCGTAAATTTGAAAGTTTGGCAAAAAGCTGTTGCCCTAGTTTGTGCGCAAAAATTCGGGACCCGGCGCGGGGCCTGCTGTGATTGGGTGCATGTGGGCCTTGGGGTTTCGAAGTCGCTGGTCATGAACTGCGCCACAGCGACTCTAGCCACAGTCTGTCACCGGGGCTGGGCGTTCTCAAGCCAAAGCAGCTCGACTGAGCAAGATGTCAATGGCATCGACATGTAGTTGTAACACTGTGTCTCGAATCTTTGGAAACATCTAGGGAAGCTGGCGATATTGCACAAATGTTTCGAAGTTGATCAATTAGCCCTTTTGCCTTTGGGCATAAAGATATCATAGGCTTAATTCCCGTTTCATGCCATTTGTCCCTCGTCAGAAGACTTTTTGCCAACAAGTATTTAATGAGGCAAACAGAATGCCCGAGTAACAATACCTTCTACACACGAGTTTTTTCATGGCGTTCTAGCACATCATGAGCAAATCCTTGATGCTCCAGACTTTAATGCGACTCTACCCGTACCTGCAGTTCTCGTGCAACACTTCCGGCACTTACATAATCATTAAATGTGCACGGTCCATGTGACGCCGAGCTCCTCCCCTGCTGCGTCTGGTCCCTGCCGACAGTCCCAGACACGCGGACATGCCAGAGTCCATCGAAAGACAACATCTCGACATCAAAGGTCTACCAACGTACAGCAACCACCAAGCCATACACAATTAGCATCGAGGCGCTATGGCTGCAGCTACAGGAAACACCGGCTGGGCCCAGCTGCGGCAACAGGCAAGAAGTCTAGAAACACAGGTACGATATTCCTCCGCTCAGAACGTCATCCAGGCTTCCCTGACATCCGGCCTCCACAGACAGAGACGCTATTCCACACCTACTCTCAGTTCTCGACGGTATCCGACATCCCGGCAAAGCCCACAGAAGAAGAAAGGACCACAGAAGCGAAGCTCCAAGATCTCCTCGAAAAAGTACGCTCAAGCCCTCGTTCGACAGACCTCGGCTCTCACCCCCTTCGCTGCCTTGAACGCCCGTACTAACATGGCCGCCAAACCATCAGCGCGAGAACGTCATTTCACAATTATCCCGCCTCCTCGATTCAGAAGCTGCTCTCACCTCATCCGCTCTGAAACAGAACAACCTGGCTCTCCTTCGTGAGAAGCTCGCCGAGCATAAGCGCGATCTCGTGCGCCTGCGCAAAACCATTTCCGAGGCTCGCGATCGCGCCCACCTTCTTACGAACGTTCGCTCCGACATCGACGAATACCGTGCCAATAACCCCGAAAACGCCGAGGCCGAGTACATGCTTGCTGAGCGCAGCCGCATCGATAATAGTCACAACATGGCTGATAGCGTCTTGTCTCAGGCATACGCTGTCCAGGACAGCTTCAATATCCAGCGCGAGACACTCGCCAGCATCAACCGTCGTATCACCATGGCTGCCAGCCAGGTACCGGGGTTGAACAGTCTAATTAGTCGTATCTCAGCTAAGAAGCGCCGGGACGGCATCATAATGGGCGCATTCATTGCGTTTTGCTTCCTGATGTTCTGGTGGTTCTTGTAATAAGCGGAGGCCCGGCATGGCTGAAATGACGTTCCTCGTGTGTTTGTTATGTGTTCAACAAAGCCGTTACGACTAGGGAATTATTGGCATAAGGGAAATGCGGAGGCGTTATTGGGATTGTTTTTGAACTTTTTTTTCATCGGATAGGGGGTATCTTTGGTGCATATTGTACACTATAAGAACACGAATATCTGTAAGCCAAAGCCAGGTTACACGAGCCTGACTGCTATACGAGGTTGGCTTTTCTGAGCCACCTGAGGAAAAGTTTTCGTCCTCTTTATCAGGATACTTCCTTCTTTCCCTTCGCTGCGTCCTTGACCTGGGCAGCCTCAAGTGCTGCCTTTTCGTTCTTATTCCACTCGTGGAGGACTAGCTTCATGCCCTTCACCAAGCTCTCCCTCTCATCGGGGTGACTAGGGCCACTGGCAGCCCATCTTATCCTACACAGGTTGTCCACCAGATAAACATAGCCTACTTTGCTGTTGAGGTATCCAATAGACTCGCTAATCTCGTTTGTGATGCCGCGGGGTACCAAGAAGTACTTTCCCCAATTGTGCTCGGGGATTTGTTTGCGCAGGTTGCCCATGAACATCTTTACGATCCACGCCTTGAACTTGTTGTCCTCAATGTTGAGCTGGAGGACCTGCGTCTTGCGGGGCGTCTTGGCCAGGAGCTCATGCAGCTCCGGATTGGCCTCGGGGGAGATGAAGGTCTTTGCCTGGTCGTCGGCCCACTGGCTGCTGTAAACGGCGACGACGGAGACCTTGCCGAGCAGCGTCCGCGTCGTGTCGCGGGGGTTATTTGCGTTCTTTGCAAGGGTGTCGCCAACGAAGTTGGGGAAGAAGAGGGACATGTCGGCCTTGAAGGGTAGAGGGGGCGCGATGAAGGATTTGCCCTCGTGGAACTGCATGTTGCGCCAGTCGCGGAAGTAGGGGCGCGCCATCTTTTCCTTACTACACAAGGAAGGACATACCAATCAGCCATACGGTCTTGAGTGTTTCTTTGAGGCATTATCACTGGGGAACTCACAGCTCTTTACGACGCACGAGATGCTTGTCGTAGTCGACAAAGTCATCCCTCCGTTCTTTCAGCGACCTCCTATCCACGCCAGAGTTGTCCTCTGGGTGAGGCGGGTGCGCCATGCCGATAGGGCGCGGCAGAGGCTGCGGCGTAAAGTTGGTGATCTTCTTGCCGTATGCTCTCGGGGCATGAATGGCAGATCCGGGAAGGTCGGGCTTCGGAGCCTCTACGGGGGCGGCGCCGGGCGCCGGGGTCGGGAGCTTGTCGGCCAGGTAAGGTCGGGAGGTGCTCAGGTGCCGTCGCCATGCGCAGACTGTGCAAGAGACCATCGTCCTTCTAGAGGCCCCCATGGACAGGGCCATTGTCCGTAACGGTGTGATTGGAACCATTGCGCCTGGTTGTTTTGGTGTAGTTGGCTTCGACTTTCAAATTCTGTCGAGGTCTGGTCCATCCATGCCTTGTTGAACATCAAAAAATTCGCGCCACATTACTCCGGCTTCCCTGTCGTACGAAGCTGGCGCCACAAGGTCTTCAGCCACAATTGGACAAAAGCCCAAGGCCCTTGAGCCGCGAGCGATAACAGAGTGGATTAGCGACGCTTCAATGCGGAGACGAGGGGGAAAGAGCCAAGCGCACTGAACCAACGCAGCGGGTCTCGGGCCACCCTGCAGCTTCCCCGAGGGGCATTTCACATTGTGTCATGGGGGACTCAATCGACCTTCACTGGCCGAACACCGTGAATAGCCGAGTGTTTGGGGGAAAGGACAATGCCGTCGCCGAGCGGTTCAATCCTCCTGCAAGTGCGTTCGCACATTCCTTGGGGAGTGCCTTCCCTTTTTCTCATCTCTCTTTTAGAAAGAACAAAAATTAGAAGTTGGGAATTGGTTTCTTATCCTTTTAAATTTTCAAAAAATAAACCAAAATGTTTCTTCAAAGAGGATCGCGCGCCGTCCGGACGCAATGGCACGTCTCCAAGAGCATGGCTCGCCTGGCCGCGGCAAGAGCTGCTGGCGTCTACCCCTCCAGACAGTTCCACGGCACACGGCATCTGCGGGTTGTGAAGCCTGTCTTGCTGGCAGATATTGGCGAAGGTTAGAAGTACCCAGTTCTACCTCTTGTTTCACAGACACATGTCTAACAGTCCCGATTTACACAGGCATCGTGGAGTGCGAAATCATACAATGGTTCGTCGAGCCCGGCGCCCGAGTCGAAGAATTCTCCCCTCTGTGTGAGGTCCAGAGCGACAAGGCGTCTGTGGAGATCACCAGCCGATTCTCAGGCGTTGTACAGAAGTTGCACTACGATGCCGGTGACATGGCCAAGGTCGGCAAGCCTTTTGTCGACATTGACATACAAGGTGGGGCTAAGAAGGAGGACCTGGATGCGCTGACAGCCCCGACGGAAGCGGCACAGGAGAAGCCCTCACAAAAGACGCCGGAACCTCCTGTACAGCCCAAGTCACAACAGAAAGACAAGACACAGGACCAAAGCAGACAAGAATCGGGGGTGGCATCTCAGGATGCGGCCAGTACTGAGGATGCCCCACGGCCAAAGGGTAGCCATGCCTCGCTTGCTACACCGGCGGTGCGGCATCTGACCAAGAGCCTGAACGTAGACATTGCCGAGATTAACGGCACGGGAAGAGACGGGAGGGTTCTGAAAGAGGACGTACAGAACTTTGTCAAACGCCGCGACGCCGGTGACAGGCCCGCTGGGGCAACGACTCCATCCCCGGCCGCCACGGCCCCGCCTTCCGGCGCCGCACAACTCGAAACCCGGGTCCCGCTCACGAACACCCAACAGCAAATGTTCAAGTCCATGACCCGCTCCCTCGCAATCCCCCACTTCCTCTACGCCGACGAGATCGACTTCTCCAGCCTCGTCCAGCTGCGCACCCGCCTCAACCGCGTCCTCGCGACGTCCCCCGAGGTGGGCGGCGGCGAGGCCGGCGTCGCGAAGCTCTCTTACCTCCCCTTCATCATCAAGGCCGTCTCCATGGCGCTCTACCAATACCCCATCCTGAACGCGCGCGTCGATCTCGACCCTTCCTCCTCGCCGTCGTCAAAGCCGTCCCTCGTCATGCGCAGCCAACACAACATTGGTGTAGCAATGGACACTCCCGCCGGCCTCCTAGTGCCCGTGATCCGCGACGTCGGCTCCCTCAATATCCTCTCCATCGCCTCGGAGCTGACTCGCCTGCAAAAGGCGGCCTTCGCGGGCAAGCTCGCGCCGGCGGACCTCAAGGGCGGGACCATCACCGTCTCCAACATTGGCAACATTGGCGGCACCTACCTCTCGCCCGTCATCGTCGACAAGGAGGTCGCGATCCTCGGCATCGGCCGCATGCGCGCCGTGCCGGCGTTCGAGGGAGAGGACTCGGACAGGGTGGTGAGAAAGCACGTTACCAACTTCAGCTGGAGCGCTGACCACCGCGTGGTGGACGGCGCGACCATGGCCCGGGCCGCGGAGGTGGTGCGGCGGGTTGTGGAGGAGCCCGACGTCATGGTCATGCATCTGAGGTGAGAAGCGTTGCAAAACTTGTTCTGGAAGGAATTTTGGGGGAAAGGGAATAAGCGCGCGTGTGTGTTGTATCTACCTTATGACTCCGGGACCACCCACCACCCCAAGAGAGATGGTGAGAGAGGAAAAGGGAACCCTCAGTAAGGCGCCTTATGGATGACGCCGTTCGGTCGCCGCGTGATGCGGAGCCAGAGGCCGAGGCTTCCATGAAGGTGTGGGTCGGCGGGCGGAGGGTTGGATGACTTACAAGACTCTTGACAATTAGACGTCTAATGATTTGTAGATGTGAGGCGAGGGCGAGCAGGGGTTCTACAGTGGTGGGTGTAACCAACTACCTATCTACTCTGCAAGCACCAATAAGGGGCAAAAATAGCGGGAAAATTTCAAATCAAAGAGTTCAAACGAAAACGAGGATCATCATCAAATCTACAAGATTGGGCTGCTGCCCGACGCACGTCTGTCAAGCATTTAACTGTATCGTGTGCAACCCAACACCAAATAAGACAGTGTACCCAAGTACGTACGACCGTATGCGTTTGCGCGTTGAAGGCCGTGATATTGATACCTTACATCAACCAAGCGCTCCAGGCTGCCCCACAGAGCCAACAACCCCCCAAGGCCGACCCCCCTCTCCTCGGTGTACTTGTAGGCAGGGACATATGTGACGGCCCAGTGACGACGGACGAACGCCTCTCCACATCCTCACCGAGTCGACGCCAGCCAATGCTAAAGAATCCCTGAACGGCAAACGTGAACGATTATGCTCCGTAGCAATGCAAGTGCCTCGATCCGGCAGGTTGCCCACCACTTCAAGTAGTAACAAGGGTTTGCACATGAGTACACCACAGAAGGGGGAGGAAGGAAGGAGGGGCAGATTGGGCACGTTGAGAGGGAAGATGTAGTAAGATGGTAGTAGCAGTCATATTTCGTCAGTTATAATATTGTATAATACTGAACTAAGAGAAGTTGCAAGTGACAGAAAACGCAACAATCTACCCGGCCAAAGCCTGACCATTGAGAATTCTCTGTTTTGCGAACCCCTGCATGGAGTGAGGAAACAAGCGCCAAACCGGCTCAACGTCGCCGTTGTCGCCTCCATGGCCAGCCCATTAAACCTGTCTGGCCTTGATATATCAGGTTGCCATGTGTTGTCCCTCCTCCCTCCCTGTTGCATGATTCCATCCCGCTGATTGGGTTGCGCAAAGGATGCCATTCGTGGCGCAGATCCTCGTGACACCCCTTCATCTCCGTACATTGCATGCAGGCTGACTTGTCAAAGCCAGCAGTTTTGTGAACCAGATCCCAATGCTGACGCCATGAATACCCAAAAGTAAACGCTCACTTCTATGCCCGGAACTCCAATATCCCGTAGGATAACTTGCCAAAAAAGAAGCTGCCAAAAAAAAAAGGACCAATGACAGTGCACCTTCTATAGCCGGTATACAACTCATGCCTCCTCTTCCATTGCGGCCTTGACGTTGGCCAAGGCGTCGCGCTTGACTTCCTCAAGGGAGCGGCTGACGTCGAGGCTGATGACATCGGTCTCATCGGCCATGGGGGCCTCGAGAGACTGGAACTGGCTGCGGACCATGTTGGCGCCCATGTAGTGGTTGGTGGCAGCGCTGCGAGCCGTCACACGCTGGACCAGAACGCTTTCGGAGGCCGACAGGTAGATGAAGTGAATGAGGATCGAGCGATCGTAGTATCCAGCAACGCGGATCACGTCTCTGTACTTGCGCTTCAGAGCCGAGCAAGTGAGAACGACTCCGTCGGAGCCCGCAGCCAGCTGGTGGCGGGACTCTTCGCGCAAGGCAACAAGCCAGTCCCAACGGTCGGCGTCGGTAAGAGGAATGCCATTGGCCATCTTTTCGATATTTGCTTGAGGGTGGAACTTTTCACGCGCGAGTCAGACAGAATTCCGAAATACGAGGTCAGAAAGCACCACTTACACTGTCACCCTCAATGTAGGGCAGCTTCAGAGCTTGAGCGAGGTACTCGGCGACAGTCGTCTTGCCACAGCCAGCGGGACCAGTAACTAGCCAGATGTGGTGATACTTGGTGTCGAGAGATCCGTTTACGTGTGCGCCATTGTTTGCCGTAGTCGGAACCCCAGGAACTCTAGGCTGGGTCTTGGAGGCAACGGCTTGTTGTACGCCGTTGGTAAGTCCCGAAGGAGACTTGGGAGTTTGTCCACTGACAGGCATCGGGGAGTCGTAGGAAAGCATTGTTTTGTGAGATATCGTGAAGAGGAACGGGTCACGGATAGGCTGTTTCGAGGGGAGCGGGTTTATGGGGCTGTTGCGTTGTCTGGAGGAGACAGGTTGAGGCGTGTAGGTAGCAGCTCAGGTCTTTGACACGATCTAGGAGATAGTTATGGGATGTTGAAGAATTCAACAGATGACGTGTAGTATTATATGTAGGTTAATTCTTGTGAGGGTGACAAAAAGATCAGAGACAAGTCAAGGAAACGGCGATCGGAGTGTAAGTGTAGGGCGTTCCTGTCTTATAAGTGACACGGACGAGACTTCTCTGGGTCTGGGGGATCGATGAGGTAAAAAATTCCAACCGGGACTCAAGGGGTGCCCTGACGGCAACTAAAACGCCCTGGGGGGAGCGCACAGCAGGTTCCAGTACCTGGACTTCAGCGGACTTCTCTCGGGCCAGGGGTAGAGAGGGACCAGGGGGGTGTCACTGACCCGGATCCCAAAGAGCGGCGTCCCCTAGTCGTCATGGTGGCCAATCAAGGTGTTGCATACCCCAGCGGGGAGAAATCCGTTACTCCACAAAGCACTGGGGGAGGGTGGTCAAGCCCATATCCGTGGGGGTGCGCTCAGAGATGACTGTGTGCTTGCGTCTGATGTCCTTGACTGCTGTCTCCATGTACGGATACGTTCGCCTTGTACTTTTTCTCCGCGGGATCCAAATGCCAAGGAGGTCGCATCTGGGGCAGACGTGGGACGAATGGAACAAGATCAGAGTTGCGCCTGATGGAGGGCAAATCGTTGGACGAAACGAATCCGTTGTTGAGTTACAATATCCGGCTGTTGGAGCATGAGATGTTGCGACGGGTAACTGCATTCAGGTGTCTAGGTTTTGAGACTGAGCACCTAGCAATGGCGCGCAATCGACTATTGGGATCATCTTTGGTAGCTGCGGTACGGCAACTAGGTAAGGTGGTAGACGTGCTCAGGCCGGCCCTCCAAGATTGTCCACTAGGCTGTCATGTACTATAGCCAGAATAAGTCTGATGGCCTTCGGAACATCCTATGTCTGTACCGTGATGGCGGAAGGGTGAGGGAGACCAACAACGGCAACCATCGAGAGCCGAATAAAGGTATTTCGCATCTATATTCGGTTCGCGATCGAATCCCCTGTGTGTTTCTAGTGTATTCGTACCACTCCCCCAAGGTGGTGTACCAGTCTGCGGTGCGCGGTGCGGTGCGATGCGGTACGCTGCGTCGTGTGCATACGGCATCTCAACGAGACCAGGATGAGAGTGTCAGGCGTCCCAGGAAAAGTGATTGTCCAGGGCAAACGCCGATACCTAAAACAATTGTGCTGAGTGTTAGCACATTGGCACAGAGCAGGGTGTGGCATTACGCAGTAGGTGTACGTAGTGCTGGGAAAAGGCAAAGCCGGCGGCGATGACAGGACTTGTGTCGCGGGTCCCGGGGAGGGCGGAGGACGGGGCTCGGTCAAGGAAGATGGAAGACTCCAGTTGGTCAGAGACAGAGGAGATGACGATGCTGAGGATGAAAAGGGTTCGAGAGACCTGAATGGCGGGGGCAGAGAAGGGGGAAAGTGATGAGCGCGGTCGGGCAGGGTGGACGAGGGGGTGCCATGGGCGAGGTGTGGACTGTGGAGGAAGCAGCGTGGGGGGACACACTTTTTCTAGAACATGGCACTAGGGAATAATTACCTGAATCGGGCAGGGGCCAGGGAATCGAGCGAGGTCACTCGACACGCAAAAAAAGACGGAAAATAGAAAGAAAGGGGGAAAAACTTATTAGGCCCTCGACCAAATTTCCAGCCTCGGTGGGGGGAAAGTGTCCGATGATGGGCAGCAAACAGCAAGCTTTGACCTGAGGTGAATATGAGGTGACCTTTTGCTCAAGTAAACGCAACTGAAGATACCTCACATCTTCTCTGCTTCTGAAGTCGGAAGACCCTATTTGGTCAGTGGGGGTCGGTTCGGTGAGTAAGGTAAAACACCTGCACAGTACCTTAGGTCATGTTGAGAAAATCCGCACACCTACCTACGGTAATTGGGATCGGTAGCTCGGAACACCTTTCATCTAGTAGCCAAATACCTTAATCATTAATGACCTGTGGACACCTGCATGCTTGCTTGTAACTCCGTGTTGTTCCTGTGGAACAAGTGCAGTGACTCGTCCGTTTCTCGCTCGACCAGCCTGGCTAACAGACCTGGTCCCCGTCCGGAACTGGTGATGGACGGGGGAAAGTGCAATAAAGTGCGTTTGGCTCTCGGGCAAGCACCGAGAAGCAAGGATTACATCATACCTGCCTTCTAGGTGTGCAGTGTCTGTGTCTGTACTCTGTCGTGGGGAAAGAGGTAGTTACGGATACTTGGTACGATTGCTCCCGCTCTATGGCTGCTGCCTTCCATTCCATTCTCTTTCCGCATGCACGAGGACGATGTCAATACCTTAGAGGTATCTACTCCATACTCCCCGTACCTACTTTACCAACGAAGAATAGCAGACAGCCAGGCGGGGGAGAGCCGGCTGACACTTTGCGATCCGAGGAAAGTGGCCACCGGGGCTAGCTCCCTCGTCCATTCATATAAACTTGCGAGACGGCAGTACATTCTCCTTGGTCCGTACCGATGCACCTGCATCTTAACTTCCCAGCCGTGCCAGCCCAGTCCACTCTGCCCCCGTCGCCCTAAGGTCCCGTCATCAACCATGGACTATGGGTCATGAGGTGCAGTCTGCATGCTCTGACTCTGGCGTCTGAGGTGCTCTTTCAAGTTTCGGCTCGGCTGGAGTTCCGGGCGGGGCTCATAACGAGCCGGCACCATTGTCACCACATGGCGGCTCGAGTCCTTGGCCCACCCATTGAACTTGGGAAAATGTGGTTTTCGGTTTGGAGTCTGAAAACAGTTCCCCCTCCCTTCATCGCACTGACTACTTTCCAGCCATTCGGATTGCGTCCTATCATCCTGAGACTCTTTTTTCGCGCTCCTCTCTTCCTCCACCATCGGCCCTCTGCCTCTGTCTGCGTCCACTCTTTCTTCCCACACAGCCCACGCTGTCACGCTGTTCAGACTTCAGAGGCTCCAATTCCCTCCGCAAGACTCCGCTAGGCCCTGGTCCTGGTCTTGCTGCAACCAGCCGTGGTGCATTGCCAGTAGTCAGCTCGTGTGCTCGTCTTGTCGTTGCTGTCCCATCCTATTTTGCCCGCTTTCTTTTTCGCTCCTCCAAGTCTCCAAATTTCTCACCACTCTTCGACCGCCTTCTCCAAGCCCAAAGTGGACCGACCACCGCTCCAAGCACTCCCCGCCAGCTTCCCCAACACTGAACCCAACCCAACGGTCAGAGGATGCGACACGCGAGCGGACAAGGATGGGCCCTTTCCAAAAATTCTTTTTCCTTCTTAAAGTCTCGACATACGGACCACACTACGTAAATACGTGCGTATTTTTGTCCACAAGTACCGATACGAATCAGTACCGCGCTCATCGGCACATCGGCCTCTCACCGCTCTCAACATGAGCCAGGTGACTGATATCTCGGTGGAGCATGCAGTCTGTTAAAATTGCGTCGCGACTGCGATAGATGCATCGGGAACGCTTGTCTCCATCGACTATCGGCTCGGCTTTTGACCTCAACTCTGACAAGAAAGCATACTCCGCAGTGATGTGGACGTTGCACCAAATAGGCTCACGCCGTTGCCATCATGTACATATGCTCAATGAACGGGCGGCATCCGTATGGCCCCCGCCCATCTCATCTATTGCGGGGGAATCGATTGCAAGTTTCGTGACACTTTGCTCAAAGTCAAACCCCACAACGCCATGTTTCTTTGACAAGGGATGAGAAAGGTCTCGGCGATTCTTACAGTGGTTTGGGGTCTCTGAACACAGTGAGAAAGTAACCGTGGTTCGATTATCAAGTTGAACATCACATTCATCCGTACCTGTGTCAACCGAGAGGATGAATCACTGGTGTAATGCAACCATTGCCTAGCTTCGTCCTCTTCTAACGGTCATCTCATTGTTACTTGCCATCACAGCAGTATTGTCATCGGGCTCCGGTCATATCCACTCTATAGAAGGCTGCGACACCTCCTCTATTCCTTACCAACCTGTGAGGCAAACTGGCAATGAGCGCGCTCACCGGTCCCGTCATCATCGGCACGCACGATAGAGGCCCATGCAAGACATTGCAGTCCAGGCAGATCGCTCCCAATGAGGGCCTGGACGAGGGCTACATGCAAGGCGCCCAACATTCCGGATTCCACACACCGCAGACACAGACACGGATACTCTCGTTGGTACTGAGGCAACTGCGAGAAGAAGAGTGAAACTCGAATAATACTGCTTGTCCAAGCCACGGCGGCGCGGGGGATGTTCCCCGGTGACCGCCCTCGGTCTGAGCATCCATGTCACCGTCGTTGGTTTCAAGGGCGCTTAAACTGACCTGCAGCACTGCTCGCTCCGAGACGCCAAGGTAAATGGTCCGAACACTCGGAATCCCCGGGATCTCTCTTCACTTCCCCGGTCGAGAACTCGGCGCAACTCGAAGTGGCATGCAGCACCAGTCGGCTCCTCTTCCCGGCCGAGTCGATACACTTCTTCCTTTCTGTGGATCCACACATCCGTCGCACAACAGACGCAACGTGAGCGACATCCTTGCGAATCTCGAGAGAAACGTGGACCGATTTTGGACGGCTGGTTGCACCGCCTGATCAAGATGCTGCCTGTGTGTCTGTCAGTATCGCTCTAAAGACTTGTTCAAACCTCCAGGAAAGCCTACATTAGGTACCTGGTGTACCGGTACCTATGAGGAGCTTCTCGGCCGCAAGCTCTAGGACACGTCAAATGTCGCTATGCTGACGCTGCGTTGCAACTTTGACATTGGTGGCTTAGTTGGCCGAATGCTACGTTCTAGACAAGGGAAACTCGCCCAACTTGTCTACCAGCCTATGCGACAACGACTTCATATTGCGCTTCCTGCAGCAAACCGTCCGGCCGTCGACATTCCTTGCTCCGTCGTGGTTGAGGGATATATATCAAGTGACTTGGTGGCGCGTTCACTTGATTATGCCCTCTCAAAGCCGCTCATGCTACACCCTCAGGCGTCTCGTCTGCACGGCTTGACTGGGAATAATACAGGATGTCAGTGGCGACGCGAAAACATGATGATGAATGTCAGATATGATAGCGAGAACCAGGTTTTGAACGAAGCGCAAGCAACCACCAAGACGTGCGCATTGCAGCTTGCCAATGCTGTCTGCCTGCTCATGCACGAGTAGGTAGCTCACGTGAAGGTATCCATTGGCTCTTGAAGTATGCATAGAACGACAGACTGCAATTGACAGGCACGATCTGCAGATCTTGGACTCAGGTGCAGACTGTAAGCTAGATCCTCTCGGTGAGCAGAACGGTGTACGGGAAGAGTCGGCATCGCTTCGCCAGCGATGAACTGGGGTGTCGGTGGTCTGTCGCCAAGTAGAATGCTTTCACAACAACTAAGAGTCCGTTCTTCCAGCTTATTTTAGTATAAGTTATTCACTCGGACTATTGAGAGAGCCATTCTACTCAGCGATCAATGGTTCGTGTCTCTCGTGACAGGTTCAGCCTGCTGCTTTCATGGACGTTACTCTCAACCATCAGTGCGTTCTTAAAAGCACCAGAACTGTGAAATGCGGGCAAAAGGGGTAGAGCTGTCAAGCAAGCAAACGGCTCATATCATGCGCTTATATCTCTTGGATTCTTGTGTCTCAATGCTAGACGTTTCAGTGTCTCTCAGAAAGTACAAGTCTGTCCTTTCAATCATCCAACCGACAGTTTTGGTGTCGAAGTTGACTTCAAGTTGGTGGTTCGCTCCTTGAGAAGCCCCATGTGGATGGCACTCACATCTTATGAACCAACACTAACCGCGCCCAACCGGGCTCTCTACTAGGTACGAGCAGGCGAGATCCCAGACCTGTGTGATATCAAAGACTAGAACTGAAATCACAGCAAGTCATGTGTCCAGGTATAGTGGAATATACTGGAGGAATATTTCTAATGTTCCCATCGCTTGCCCCTCCTTCTCTATTGGTTGTAGTTTTGTAAATAAATCAGTTGTTTCGTTAACAAAAGTACCAGTATTGCCCCTCATTGTGGCTGAAGCTCCAACGTCGTCGCCTGCCTCCAAGCCTGTTTGGGGAGGTGAATATGTTCCCCATGGCATACGAGATTATTTACAGACTGGGCAATTATTTCCACAGGTCTCGTGGCCAGCAGAAGTGGCTTCCAACATAATGGCCAATCGTCACAGTCAAAAGAAAGTCAAGCCACGGAGCGCCACGATAGAGAAGCTCCTGGCCTGTGCATAGAGAGCCGCTCCCCTGTTCAAATAACGAACCTCCGTCTGCGGCTTGTGTGGCTCTTCCCCGCTGCTGGCGGCGCCTGAACACAGTTGTCGTCTGCTCATCCACTGCACCTGCCTCATCAGTGACCAATGACCAGTGCGGCACCATCTCGACTCCTCATGCGGGTTTCATCCATTTCCGCCCTCCAAAGGCTGACATCTTTGCGAGCTACTTCTTCTTTATTTCACACTTCTCCCAAGACTTTGAGACCTAGAAATCACTTCCCCTTGCTTGCGAAACCCTGCCGGCAGAGATTTTCCACAATGAACGCTCAGGAGCTCAAGCACTACCTGGCTGACGCGCCGCCGAGCGTCGTCCGTTTGGAGATTGAGAAGCACTTTGAACCCCTCACCGACAAGCAGAAGCGCTATGCGCATTTCATCAGCAAGTAAGAACCCCGTCGTGATGCCATGTCATCCTTGGTATTAGCTATGCCAAGCTTTTATGGGGGAGCGGAAGCTAAAGGACATGTTAGAGCCTCGTTTGCGGGAACCCGTATTGTGCTCAGACAACTTTCTCCAGAGTCAGAGCCCATCTACGACTTCATCATTGCCTTACACAAGAGCAGTGGTGGTGACTGGAATAGCCTTGCCAAGAAGGCTGGTGTCGATGAGAGCCAACTGACCCACTTCCTGGAGTATGCTGCCCAATTCTTGGGCAACAATGGCAACTACAAGAGCTTCGGCGATGCCAAGTTCATCCCTAGAGCCGATGAGAAGACTTTCGCGGCCCTTGCTGCTACCTCTCCTGAGGCTGAGCGCTTCTACAAGGCGACCAACGGTGCCATCTTCAGCTCTGACAAACAGGCGCTGATGCACCTCGGATTCCCTGACAAGGGTCACATGACTACCTACTACCCCGATTCGCCTCACATTACCCAGGAGGAGATCGAAGCCGTGTCCGCCTGGATGGAGAAGAAGGGCCTTCTCCCCGAGAACAACCGTCTCCGCAAGACCAAGGAGGGCACTTTCGAAATTCTCATTGCCTCGGCTGTCACGAGCGTTCCCGCTGAAGGCGGTGACATTGGCAAGGAGACTGAGTTCCAGGTGGAGGATGGTCTCCTCAAAGGCAAGACGATCAAGCTGGTATACGGCGACTATGCCGCTGAGATGAAGGCTATTTCCGAGTATATCACAAAGGCGCAGGAGAATAGCGACAACGAGAACCAAGCAAAGATGCACGAGGCATACGCGAAGTCTTTCTCAAGTGGCTCCCTCCTCGCATTCAAGGACAGCCAGAGATTCTGGATCAGAGACAAGGGCCCTATGGTTGAGTCAAACATTGGTTTCATCGAGACCTACAGAGATCCCGCTGGTATTCGCGGCGAGTGGGAAGGCTTTGCATCTGTGGTCAACCTGGAGCGTACCCGCGCCTTTGGCGCTCTCGTCTCCGCTGCGCCCGAACTGATTCCCCTCCTCCCGTGGAGCAAGGATTTCGAGAAGGACAAGTTCTTGTCGCCCGACTTCACATCACTCGAGGTTCTGACCTTTGCCGGATCTGGAATTCCTGCTGGAATTAACATCCCCAACTACGATGACATTAGGCAGACTGAGGGCTTCAAGAACGTTTCTCTCGGCAACGTTCTGAGCGCCAAGGCTCCCAATGAGAAGATCCCTTTCATCTCCGAAGCCGACTTGGAGTTGTACCACAAGTACAGGGACCCTGCTTTTGAGGTGCAGGTTGGCCTTCACGAGTTGACTGGCCACGGCTGCGGCAAGCTTCTTCAGGAGACCTCTCCCGGAACCTACAACTTTGACGAGAAGAACCCTCCCGTCAGCCCCTTGACTGACAAGCCCGTGACCACATGGTACAAGCCCGGACAGACATGGGGATCCGTATTCGGCAGTCTTGCTGCTTCATACGAGGAGTGCCGCGCTGAGCTCGTCGCTATGTACCTTGGGTATGTATCCTGCAACCGGCTGTGTAGAAATACCTGACTAATCTGGGCATAGATGCGAGTTCCCCGTTCTTAAGATCTTCGGCTTCGGCGACGGAAGCACCGACATCAACAACGAGGCTGGCAACGTCCTGTATGCTGCGTACCTCCAGATGGCCCGCGCCGGTCTTGTGTCCCTGGAGATGTGGGATCCCAAGAGCCAAAAGTGGGGCCAAGCGCACTCGCAGGCTCGCTTCTCTATCCTGCAGGTTGGTGACAATGACGTACGCTTATGAATGCCCAAATGCTGACTTATCGCTCTCTGTAGTGCTTTCTCCAGGCTGGCGACGACTTCTGCAAGCTGGAGTACAAGAAGGATGATCTGTCCGACTTGGAGATCAAGCTTGACCGTTCAAAGATTCTGACCACGGGTCGTGAGGGTATGTTATTCCCAATCTCGTGACGCGCACTTTGGGGCACATCAATGCTGACTGACAATTTGCAGCCGTTGGAAAGTATCTTCAGAAGCTTCACGTGTACAAGGCCACCGCCGACGTCGAGAACGGCACCGCCTTCTACAAGGAGATGACCAACGTGGACATGGACTTCTGGGGCACAAAGGCCAGAAACGTCGTCCTGGCCAACAAGCAGCCCCGCAAGGTCTTCGTCCAGGCCAACACCTACCTCGACGAGGCCACCGGCAAGGTCAGCATTAAGCACTACGAGGCGTCTCCGGCAGGTATCATCCAGAGCTGGGTCGATCGTGACTTGTGACTAAGCCCAAAGTCCGAGACGGCTAAACTGTGAGAGGCTGGCTGTGAAGAGAATGAAAGGGGTCCCTGCATCAACCATAATAAACCTTGTAATACCATGCTCCTAAAAGGGGCCAGAACATTCAAAGTTTCGTAGACCATTCGCATAAAGTGAAGCCCAGTGGATGCTGTTTGAACGTTTCCGAGATTTTCGTCAGGCTCCTTACATCAAATCTTGACATCATGCACTTTAGTCATCACGAGTCGAGAAAGTGCAGTGTATGGTTCATGTCAAATATTGTCATTCCCTCGTAAAGGGGGAGGCACGTCGTCGTTGGACCGGATGCGTTATCTTCTTTGTGTGTTGGATTTGTGAAGAACCTCATTACAGACGCCAAATGTGACCGATGCCGTCGACTTCCAAATGCAATTGGCAAAACCAGCCCAGCCCGTGTAGCCATAAGTTCTTCGTCGTCTACAACAACATTCCTCAAACCGTTGCGAACTGGGCGTAAAAAAAATGTGTGGTTCTTCTTTTTTTGATCCCAATTGACTTTGTCCCCTTCCTTTTCCACGGAGTCTCTATGTCCACATCATCCGGAAGCCTTAATTTTTGAAACGACCAGCGACGAAGAGAGCAAACCCCCGAAAAGCCCACACGCCAAACGAAACCTCCCTCTCAACAGCTTTTTTGGTGTAGGAAAAAAACTGTTTACCAGGTCATCTCGTGGGGCTTGTCGCCCTTGCGCAGGCTGAAGGAACTCGCCAGGTAAGAGGCGAGCATGTCGACCTTCTTGATGCTGGCGAGCAGGGCCTTGTCGACGGCCTTCTGGTCGGCGGCACGGCTGCTGTTGATCTCCTTCTTCTGTAGAAACACATGTACTGTCAGTCTCCCGTTCCCATTGTATTCAACCTGGATCTGGGTGTCCCAGAAGATGTAATCGTACCTCAGGCTTCTCTCCCTGCTTGAAGAAAGCGTCCTCGCCAACCTGCTTCTTGGCCTTGTCGGCGGTGAAGTACTTGGGTGCGGAGATCTCCTCAATCTTCTTGGACTCAACGCCGGAGACGTCGACCTTGTAGGATGTGGCGATGACGTAGCGGGAGTTGACGCGGCGGAGAGGAACGCCGTTGATCTTGAAGGGGCCGGTAACGAGAAGGACACCCTGGTCGAGGGTCTTCAGGAGAACGACGCGCTTGCCGCGGAAGCGGCCGGCGAGGAGGATCAGGATGGTACCGGGCTGGAGGGTCTGGCGGGGAGCCCAGGGGCGGACGGCCTTGCGGACCTAGTGACAATCGTCGTCAGTATCGCCGTCGCCAGTTTTCAAGATTTTTTTGTGCGTGTTGCTTGCAATTCGACATTTGTGATAAAGGGGGCCATGTCATTCCGCAGATCACGAGCGTCTTCTTCCTCCATGCCTCCAATTCATTGTGTGCGTTGATCGATTTTGCGATTGGTTGTTGTGCCCGTATTGATGTGTTGTCTCCCTCCTGCAATCTCTTGGCTGTCCCGACTTGGGACTCTTGAAGTTTTGCGTCGTAATTCGAAAAAATTGTTGCGCTCGCTTTGTCGTGTCCTCCCAATTACATCCCAAGCCCGAACTCGTGACCGCTCTCGAAATGACATTTCCCTCCTTCCATCGCACATGCGCAGAATTCCAAGCAGCGCCAGCACGCAGATGTAGTAAACTCACCTTCTTGGCCTCGGGCTCATCGTCGGCGTTGTACCACTTCTGCGCCTTCTGGGAGGGGGCGGGGACGACCCGAGTCGACGAGCCGAACTTCTTGGTCGTGGATTCCGTCTTCGCCGACATGGTTGCTCTCGGTCCTCGTGGAGGGCTGTTGTGGTTAGCGGAGAATGGGGATCGTGAACGAAAAAGAAGGAAGTGGTTGATCTCGTTCGAGAGGCTTTGGTTGTTGGGGTCGGGTCGGCGGGAAATCGATTTCTCAGAAAATGTCTAGCGAGTGTGGGCGGCGGGTGTGGAAGGCAAGCCCTCCGCTAGTCCGGATTAGGCAGGGTGCATGCGGCAGAAACCTCTGCACTCTCTGTAGACGCGGGCGGTAAGCCAGGGCCCCTTCCCATACCGACAATTTCCAACGGGAGATTGTGCGCCCGATTTTCCGGGGCCAGACCCCCAGGGCCCACTGATCGGTCTGCTTCCCAGCTCAGGGCCGGAGTCGGATGTCACTGGGCGTCAACAACTCCGAAGAGGCAGCACGTAACTCCCTCTCTTGCTAATCCCTAGGTGGTGGGTGAGCTGTTGATTACTCGAAAAAATATCAGTATTCAAGAGCTCTCATTCAGGTATTTTCTTGACCCCGTCAAACACAGCCTCTGTCCCATGAATGTAGTTCAACTGAGTAGTCGGAAGACTGCCTACCTATGATGGGCAAAGAGCGCTGGCGGTATTCGCATTTCGTCATGCGCATGGGCCACGTGCTGATAAGATAAAGCTTCGGAACATGCTAGACCTCAGCGAAAGTGCGAGAATGTACTTGTGAAATCTGCCGACTTCGTGACTTGACAACACTAGGGGGTTGCTCAAAGGATATTTGAAGCCGTGTACTTGTCTCTCTTTAGCTTGTTGTACAATTGTCATATTGGAACGACTTTTGTAACACATGGCATTGGCCAGTAGTCACAATGCAAGCCAGAAGACAACTCATCTCATCCGCCCGGCGTATCGTCGGGTCATCGTCACCCAGACCTACACGACTAATCTCAAGAGCCATCATCAACGAATCTGCTGCACTCAGAAGCAGTAGCAGGCTTCTACCAACGATAGCCATAAGGACTTATGCAAATGGAAGACCTCATCCTCCAGGCGGTACACACCGCATGAACATGGGTGGCGAGCCAGAGAAACCGGCACTCGAGCAATTCGGAATCGACCTGACGGCGAAAGCCAAGGAGGGAAAGCTCGACCCTGTCATTGGACGCGACGCTGAAATCCAACGAACTATTCAGATTCTATCACGGCGGACAAAAAATAATCCTGTCGTCATTGGCAAAGCCGGCACCGGCAAGACAGCCATCCTCGAAGGCCTTGCACTGAGAATTGTGCGTGGCGACGTCCCGGAGAGCATCAAGAATAAGCGTGTTATCGCCCTGGACCTAGGCTCGCTGATTGCGGGCGCAAAGTTCAGGGGAGACTTTGAAGAGAGACTGAAAAAGGTCTTGACCGAGGTCCAGCAGGCAGAGGGCGAAGTCATCCTCTTCATCGATGAACTGCACACATTGCTCGGCCTCGGCAAGGCCGAAGGATCGATCGATGCGAGCAACCTGCTGAAGCCAGCACTTGCGCGTGGTGAACTTCAGTGCTGCGGTGCAACTACATTGGAGGAGTACCGCCTTATCGAAAAGGACGTTGCCCTTGCCCGGAGATTCCAGCCTATTATTGTCAACGAACCCACCGTCCAGGACACAGTTAGCATCCTGCGCGGTATCAAAGACAAGTACGAAGTCCACCACGGTGTCCGCATTACCGATGGTGCCTTGGTGGCAGCCGCTACCTACTCTCACCGCTATATCACCGATCGATTCTTGCCCGACAAGGCAATCGACCTGATGGACGAGGCGGCCAGTCATCTCAAGCTCGAGCATGAATCGAAACCTGAAGACATCATGGCCCTCGACCAGAAGATCATGACCATTCAGATTGAACTCGAAAGCTTGCGCAAGGAAAAGGACGTGGCCAGTCAAGAGCGTCGCGACAAGCTGCAGACGGACCTGAAGAAATACGAAGACGACATCGCTGAGCTTATCAAGCGCTGGGAGGCTGAACGTGGCGAGATCGAGGCCGTCAAGAAGACTCAGGAGGAGCTCGACAAGGCCAGAATCGAGCTGGATCAGGCACAGAGAGAAGGAAACTTCGGCCGCGCGTCTGAGTTGAGATACAGCGTCATCCCCGCCCTTGAGCAAAAGATTCCCAAAGATGGCGAAAAGTCAGACGGCAGCCTTATTCACGATGCCGTCACTGCGGATGACATCGCAGCGGTCGTTTCAAAGGTGACGGGCATTCCAATTTCCAAGCTTACCTCTGGCCACATTGAGAAGCTCGTGCACATGGAAGATTCCCTGCGTGAGGCTGTCCGCGGCCAGGACGAGGCAATCAAGGCCGTCTCCAACGCCGTGCGCCTCCAGCGTGCCGGTCTCAGTGGCGAGAATAGGCCGCTGGCGTCCTTCTTCTTCCTGGGACCGACTGGTGTCGGAAAGACGGAGCTCTGCAAGAAGCTCGCGGGCTTCCTCTTCTCTACCGAGTCGGCGGTTGTCCGGTTCGACATGAGCGAATTCCAGGAGAAGCACACCATCTCGCGCCTCATCGGAGCGCCCTCCGGCTACGTAGGCTACGAAGATGCCGGCCAGCTCACCGAGGCTGTTCGCCGCAAGCCTTACGCCGTCCTCCTTTTCGACGAGTTCGAAAAGGCCCACCGCGACATCTCTGCCCTCCTCCTTCAAGTCCTCGACGAGGGCTACCTCACCGACGCCCAGGGGCACAAGGTCGACTTCCGCAACACCATCATCGTGCTTACATCCAACCTCGGCGCAAACATACTCGTCGGCGCGGACCCCATCCACCCGTACAAGGAGACGGCTGACGGCGAGATCGACCCTTCCATCCGCAAGGCTGTTATGGACGTCGTGGCCGCGAACTACCCGCCAGAGTTCCTCAACCGCATCGATTCCTTCATCGTCTTCAAGCGCCTCGCCCTCGCCGCACTTCGGGACATTGTCGACATCCGCCTACGGGAGCTGCAGCAGCGACTCGACGACAAGCGCATCATACTCGACGTTGGCGGCGAGGTGCGAGATTGGCTCGCGGAGCGCGGCTACGACCCCAAGTTCGGCGCAAGACCGCTCAACCGCCTCATCACCAACGAAATTGGCAATGGGCTTGCGGACAAGATCATCCGCGGCGAGTTGCGCTCCGGTGAGACGGCGGTTGTCAGTATCAATGAGGATAATTTGGGCCTGAAAGTTGCGGCTCAGTCAAAGGCGTGAAAAGGGATCATCTAATTACGACATGTACCACTACTTTGTTTTGAGTCATTGTTTAGGCGCACGGAGTACATGTAAGGAAAAGGCTGGATTCCCCTCTCTCGAAAGTGTTTGTCAACTACCATTGTAGCATTGCTGTAACGCCGCATAAGACTGTAAAATCACAGATAGACCGTATTTATTACACGTGCATTCTACTTACGTATTCCACCCCATAACCCACGGACAATATTCGTTCTCGATTCTACTCATCTAGTGAGCCTGTGCACTTATAACCCACCTTTCACGAGTAGCCATTTGTCCTCTTGAGTCGCATCTGCCTACATCCCATCCCTGTGACGTCGAGTACCCACACCCACGCGTCCAAGACAGCATTCCACAAAGGGGCTCTGCGGTAAGACGGCGTTGAAGCGTACGCTTTAAGAGGGGGGGCTAGAATTCTAGGCTGAGGATGCCGCGAGACATTTCCCACAAAGGGGCCTTTCAAGGAATGGAGGGGTTGGGACGGCGGCAGCACCAAAAAAAAAAAAAAGAACGTTATCGCATATCCCGTGGCACCATGAAACTTTGTGAGAAAAAAAGGAAGACAAGTCTATAACGATTCTGTCCCAACTCTCAAGGCTAGAACTACCTGAACCCCCTCCATACCTAACAACAATGACGACAAACTGGAGGAAAGCAGGGCGAACCACCCCTCATAGGGGGACTGACCAGTCATGAAGAAAATCGTTAAGCCCAGGTCTCATCCCTTCCCCTACCGAGAATGGTGGGCAAACCAGACCATCAAAAGAGCAGAAAACACCGTCTTCATGGAATTGTGCGGAGGCGAGAAAGCCAGGGTGTTCATGAGTAGGCTTCTCCGTCACATTTGGACGGAGAAGCGTATAGAGTTGCTGCGTGAGGACTGTACAAATTTCCCAACCCAAGACGCCCCCTTTCTTCCAAAACGAAACTTGTCCTTTTGAGACCAGAATGTGTGTGCTTGCTGCGTCGAGAATGCCAATGGAGTGTGGCTCACGTGATGTCAGGGACCACCATGGGGAGGAGGGGATGGAAGGACGAGGAAATGCGAGAAAATGAGTTATGGACTATTCGATTGCCTTGTGACCGGTAGCTTTGCGAATTACAACCGTACCAGAGGGATGACGTGAAAGAGTAGCAGAAGAGAGGTAGTCCGTTCGGCTTCTCTTCGCGGCATTTACTGGTGACCCGCCTTGCGCAGGGTGGTGGCAAGCCACTCGAGACCCTCGTAGAGACCATCACCGGAGGTAGCGCAAGTGGACTGGATGTACTATTGGGGGGATTAGTATGAGAGTCGTAGTTCGTCATGCTCGGGGAAAACATACCCAGGCGCGTTGTCTCAGGGAGTGAAGGCCAAGCTTGTCTGTGATCTCGGCGGCGTTCATGGCGTTCTGTAGAAGAAAAGGTCAGTCGCATGCTTTGAGTTGATGAAGCCTCAAGGAGCGCCGAAGTAGGGGGGAGGGGGTGGCGGGGTAACATACGGGCAAATCCTGCTTGTTGGCGAAGACCAGGAGAATGGCATCCCGCAGCTCGTCCTCGTTGAGCATGCGCTGGAGCTCCTCACGGGCCTCAACGATACGGTCGCGATCGTTGCTGTCGACGACGAAGATGATACCCTGGGTGTTCTGGAAGTAATGTCTCCACAGAGGACGAATCTTGTCCTGACCACCGACATCCCACACGGTGAACTGGATGTTCTTGTACTCGACGGTCTCGACGTTGAAACCTGAAAGGGCGGAATGTTAGCACGCCATTCGCCTCCTCGATGCATTGACCTATCGACAGCGGGGGCGCGAGATTCGATGATGACAAGAGGCAGAATAGGGTGGTAAGGGGTGGTGCGTACCAATGGTAGGAATGGTCGTGACGATTTCACCGAGCTTGAGCTTGTAGAGAATCGTAGTCTTTCCGGCGGCGTCAAGACCGACCATCAGAATTCTCATCTCCTTCTTTCCCCAAAGCTTGTCGAAGATCTTGGAAAATGCGAGACCCATGGTTGCGGTTCGGGCTGTGATGAACGTCTAAGTGTCGGTTGCGTTGGGTAGGAAGAAGTAATCTGTTGAGGAGCGACAGTGTAAGCAAGCGCGCAATTGATGAATTTAGATTAAATGGCAGTGACGTCGAGAGAAGATGCGGGCGGGATATAAAGCAACGAAGAGAGCACAGTCGGAAAGGACAGATCGTAACGGAGGCGGGCAGGATCGGGTCACTGACCAAAGTCTGCCTGGGCGCTGAGCGAAGGCAAGATGATGCGATGATGAACTGGTCAAGGTTGAAGTTGAGAACCAGGCTGCCGCAATTCGCAAATGGAGGAGAGGAGATAGCGGGATAGAAGAAGTGGATGTGGACAGGCGACGTGGAGGGAGGGAGGGATAGGGATATTGGATTGGGTTGGGGGGCGTGTGGTGGGCTGCTCTGCCTTTCTACTGTATCCTGAGGTGTCGTGTCCAGACCGATGCAGGCACGCGCGCAAGAGCAACTTTGGCCGAGGGGGTGGGAAAGGGGACTGAGGGGGACGAAGACCCGACTGAAGATGACACAGAGGCTGGAAAGAAAGGGACGGAGTCGAAACAAAAACAGGTGATGACGAGAATACTAGTGACTTACTTCTTCACGAAGTCCCTCTGCGACGGGAGACTGGAGACGAGTGGTGGTGGTTTTTTTTGGTCGTGGGTGTGATTGTCGGTGAAGGGGGGGAGACAGTCCAAGTGTCAAGAGGATTAGTTTAGGTGGGTGGAATAGAGGCGAGCAGAGGGGGTGGGCTTTGCTAAGATAATCTTCGGCTCAACGAGGTTGGTGGTGATTTTCAGAAAGGCCATGTTTTTCAAACTCTGTGTCCCCACTTCTACTCGACCACCGCTACAAACGGACGCCACCCTGTGGCCCGCTGAGGTACCTTCCCTAGCAAGCTACTGTCTGGCAATACTTGCCCTTGGGATTCCTAAAACTGCCCACGCTGTCATGTTCCATAAGGTAAGGTAAGGTACCTCAGGTTGCGTGCTGAGGGCCCCAAGTCAAGCTGGGCACAGACCATAAGATAGGTTAAGGCAGGCCACTCGAAGCTCCCTGTTGGCTCCCTTCTAGCGTTGTCAACCGCTAAAGGGCCCTTCTGAAGCACAAAGTACCCGCATCACGTGCAGGGGTCGGCTTCAATGTACCGTGAGAAACAAAGTCGGAAAAGCATCGGTCCATTACGTCTGGCCCCCCGAGCTAGACTTCTTTTGGCTCAGCCTCAAGTCCAACCAGACGTCGCCAAAGTGTCCAGACTCAAGGAACAGGGATCACCTCCAGGAACCGATCTGGAGAACAGCCTGGACACAAGCCAACGTCGCTCCTTTTTTCCTCCGGCCCTGACCTCTACCATTCGACTCCAGAACAGCTCGACTCTGCTGTGCCTGCCGACCAGCTTGAGTCTGACGTCTTTTCGTATCGGCCACGACAGAGAGCTCTTACACCACCCTGAGGAAAAAAAGATTGGAAGCTCCCGCCATGTTCTTCCCTTCAGTCGCCAAGCTGCTCCTCGCAGCTGGCTTCGTCCACTCGGCCTTGGCCCACAACATCCAGCTGCCCGCCCACGGCCGCGAGTGCTTCCACGAGTCGCTGCACCGCGATGACAAGATGACCGTCACCTTCCAGGTCGGCGACCGCGAGTTTGGCAGCGCCGGCAACCTAGACATTGACTTCTGGGTACGAATCCAGCTCCAACCTACCCCACCACCACCCCCTTTCGAATCGCGTACTTTGCGCGCAATTGCATCATGGCAAAGGCAACAAGACTAACGATTGACTCCCTACGCCCATAGATCACGAACCCCCAAGGCCAGTACGAGACCTTTGACAAGAGTGTCTCCAACGGCGACTTCTCTTTCGACGCGAAGCACGACGGCAAGTACACCTACTGCTTCGGAAACGAGCACTGGGGCGCCCACAGCAAGGAGGTCTCCTTCAACGTCCACGGCATTGTCTACGTTAGCGAAACCGATGTCCCTGCCGACCCCCTCGAAGTTGAAGGTAAGGAGCACGCCAGCGCAATGGGTTTTATCAGTGGGGTTTCTAGGCTTCTCTAACACTTCCTCGTTATAGTCCGTCACCTTTCCGAGCTTCTCGCCCAGGTCAAGGATGAGCAGTCCTACATTGTCCTTCGCGAGCGCACTCACCGTAATACCGCCGAGAGCACCAACAGCAGAGTCAAGTGGTGGAATCTGTTCGTCATTGGCCTCGTCGTTGGAGAGTCCGTCTTCCAGGTGTGGTGGCTTCGCAGATTCTTCGAGGTCAAGAGGGTAGTTTAAGAATAAAAAGGCGTCGTCATTTTTCGTTTTCCGGATACCCGTGCTGGGGACGACAGGTCGAAGGCGCACAAAAAAGGGATGGGATCTTGGCAGGATGCTCTTCGAGACCCGAATGCCAACAACACTCCTGGAGATGAGATTGAGATGTATAGTGTATCATAGATCACATGAATGACACGAATGGTTCTGAATATGAAGCAAGGCTTGGCTATTTTGATATGGAGTGCAATACCGGCGAACCTTTGAGCGTCTTTGACCACAAGACTACTCACAGAGCCTTTACTCTCAGCCTTGGAGCACCACTGGCATTGTCTAAGCATCTACATAACAACAATCGGCAGACAAGCTCGTTATTCGAGCCGAAATATTTGTGTTACAACATCCACACAGGAAGCCGGAACCGGCCAGCATTGTTCGTGCGTGCCATCTGGGATTACAGGAGGTTTCCATCCATGACACCAATGCCACCGGAAGCCGTCTAAATACCCCATCTACGGATTCATTAGGCACAGCTGTGATGGCACTCGTGTAGTCCTTGTGACTCACACGAAAATACAGTCTGGGTTTCCTCTATGAGAATGTACTTGGATGACCTCCTCTAAGATTGCGCTACGAGGCAGGCTGCCATAAACGAGCTCGAATTCACCACCGTGTCCAGAAGCTAACATACCGTTGCAATAACTGTCTCACCTATGGGTGGCACAAGGTACCGTTTGCTACGCTGCCAAAAGTCAGTTCGAAGCGACGAGATGGGACGGTGACTGACCGGCTCTGCCTGGTGAAAACTTCACAAGGCAACAGCTTCACAAAAGAACAAGTGGTCATTTTACTGAATCGAATTGTGATGCAAGATTTTTGCTAGCCATCCTGTTTGGCCATCATGACTCCCTCTAACCTGACAGTCATTATGTACATCATACATCATGTATACGGCAACGCATTAATGCCTTTTCCTACAATAGCCACGAGTCCATCTCGTAAGCCTCAAAAGTATGCGTTATAGAATCCAACAAAGCTAACCCCAAGACGCCGTACCATCTGTATGTCCCAAATGTAGCCCTTGAAATAAGAGCAAAACAACACCAAGTGCAACGCAAATAGGTCATGCTTCATACACCTCCAAAGTCGCCTCCTCATGTTCATGCGTTCGGATCAGACTCAGGAACGCTCTCCGTTGTCTCTTCGGGTATCTTCTCCACGGGAATATCAACTCCCTTGACAGGATGAATGAGCATTGGAGGCAGGCACATACGGCCCTCACCACCACGCATCTGGCCAACACTGGACCCATCCTTGCTCAGATCTTCCGTCTTCTCAAACTCCTCGCCACCATCATTGTTGACTTTGAGGCCGAGCCAGCGACGGTACAGATTCGGAGCAAAGCCCGAGTTGTAGAACCAGCTGAGACCACGGAGGTTGTGCTCACGCTGACCAAACACTGCAGTGCGAGCACCACCACTAGCTCCGTTCTTGCCGCCGTTGAGAACCTGGGCCAAATATTCCGTGGGCCATTCTCTGTCGACATACATGGGATGAGGCGCAAATACTGCCTTGTAGCCGTGCTGGAAAGCGACGGTAACAGGCCACATTTCCGGGAAGGCAAAGTGCTTCTTGAAAGCAGTCTCGCGGTGCATCGTCATGAGCAAGCGGCGGGACATGCGCGAAGCCGTGATGATGTGTGCTCGTCTAGGCGGCATAGGCTCGTCCCGGTTGTTCTTGTTGTATCCAGTAATGTCCTCTGATAGCAACCAAGTGGTTCCCTCAGGATCGAAGATGGGGTTAAAGGCAATGTAGTCGGCTTCTTCGCCGACACCCCAAGTGTACTTGTCCTTCTCGTACGTGGTAGGCGGCTTAGGGTCGTTCTCGATCTCGAACCAGTCATCCTCATTGGTAGGGCGCTCGGGTCCCCAGATGGTCTTCTCGCCTCTTGTAATCTTGGTGGGATCTTGGTTCTCCTTAGGCTTCGCGCCAGGAATGTTCTTCCACACGTTATCAGCGCCATCTGTTCCCATCTCAGACTGCACACGGGCCATCTGTCTGAAGTCCTCCCAGGAACCGTGGACGCTGGGGATGTAAAATCGAGAGTTGCGCTCCCACATTCCCTTTCGTGGTTGCTCCTTGCCCCAGTTCTCCATCTTGGAGAAGAGATCATAGTAGTGGCCAGTGTAGCGGATGTCCATCTCCCAGGACCAGTAGAAGTCGTACTCGGGGTGCTGGTAGCCGAAGTACTGCATAGCCATAGTAAGGCCGCGGTAAACTCCGTGAACTGGCAAGTCAGGTCCACGAGTGTAGAGATCGAAGATGCCCTGGTACAGAGACAACATCTGCGTCTCTGTCCACAGCGTGACCAGACCTCTGAACTCCTCGGGAATGCGCTCCTTGATACGGCGTTCATAAACCTCGTGATCGGCCCAGACGGGGTGTGCTGCGTCGTTCTTGATCTGAACGAGGAGATGGACATCGTAGCGTCCACCTGAAGCCAGTGCCAATTCGGAAATGACCGAGCGAACGTTCATAATATCCTCCTCGCGCCAGTTGTACTCGTCCCAAACACGGATTACTACAGCTGTACGGGACATCTTTTCCTTGGGCTTTTGCTCCTGGTCGGCTTTCGTATCTGACTGGGTGGCTTTGGCGCCGGGCTCCAAGTTGTCGAGAGGATCGCGCGTCACCAAGGTGGCATTTTGAGCAGGCTCGTCGACGAAGAAACCACGTGCGGCGGGGGTCTTGGGGGGCATCGGCTTGAATCTCTCGTTGTTTGACTGGTAGCACCGGCGCTGAGCATCTGCCCAATCGACTTGCCGCCAGTCCACCTGAGGGGTCTTCTCCCACACAGCATCGGAACCTTCCTTTTCGCCGTGCTCGCCAATTCCGAGACCTCCAGCAGGAACGGAGTACCCAAAACCATAGGGCGCGTAGCGTCCGAATCGTTCGTAGCAGATATCTTCAGGCAAGTTGAGTAGATCGTAAGAACCTTCGACGTGCTGGGGGAAACCTTGAGGGCGGCCTTCCAGGTAACGAATAGGCGGGACGCGAACTTTGTTGTCCTTGTCGATGAAGCATTCGTTCATCTTCTCAGGCTTTGTCACGAAAATGGAGCCAGGGTGGTCGATGAACTCCTTGCTCTTGGGCACAGCGCGTCTGACGGCATCGTCCTTGCCATCCTCACTCGTTGTGGTGACGGTGGTGTTGATGTCGAGCTGGTCCAAGGGAAGTTCGTCTGAGGAGCGGGGGTACGAGGGGATGTACTTGGAAGGGGCGACTATAGATCGAACACCTCCGTAGTATCTTTGAATGAAGCCAAAGGACTCCCATACCGGCGGAGGGTCTGGCTTCTTCTCTACCTTGCCCTCGATGATCATCTTGTTCTCAACGTGACTTGCGCGTACCAGAGACATGATCATGACCACCATGAACGTAAGCAGTCCTAAGCATAAGTATCGGATGATTCGGTTTGGGAAGCGGTAAAGGTGGGTACGCGGGCGGCGGGCTGTCGCAAGAGCCCGCTTCGGGAGCATCATGGCTGCGCTCGAGAGCGATCCTGAAGTCTGCCGTGAGCTCTTCGCACTCGGCGAGGAGGATGTCGAGTAGTCTTCCGATTCGTCGTCGGACGAGTAATAGTCGTCGTCATCGTTCGAGAGGCGCTCCTTGGTGCGCAGAGGACTGAGCTGCTCGTATTTTGGTAATCTGCCCGTGCGGTTCTCGCGAGACCGCAATGGGTTTGAAAAAACACCCATTCTTGGTGCTGGATTGGAGTCTTGAGGTTCCCAGAGTTAGTTTCTGGGGCAGACAGAGACGACAATAGCGGTGTCAGTCGGTGGTTGCTTACCACGAGAAACCCGTGAACACCTCCAAGTGCTGTGGTAGAGGCCCGGTGGACGGGCGTGGCGGCTCTCCTGACACTCGCCTGGGTGTAAACGATTCGCGTAATACTACAGAAAGACCTGTGAGGTTTCCGGTAAAAGTTGTCGTAGAGTATAGTATACAGCAAAGGCGAAGTCGGTAGTATTGGGTGAAGATGGGAAATGAATGCTTTGGACAGAATAAAGTAGAGGTCGCAAGCCAAAAAGATGGAGATGAGGTTCGGGGGCACGGTGCTAGGGCATCATATGGAAATGAAGCGCAGCAGGGGAACGAACGACGGAGGTTAGTTTGGGCCAACAGAGTCCACCTCGAGTAATATGGATCTATCAATGTTGGATATGAGCGACCCAGCGACGGCGGGACAACATGAGAAAAAAAGGCAGGAGCAAAACAGCGAAAGACAACCTGAGAGAGGTACGTATTTCGTTGCTGCTAAGGTTGACCAGTGTGGTTCGGCAGTCCGAGTAACTACGTATTTTGGGTGGGTTGCACACTGTGAAATGGTGTGTGTCGTCCTTGCTTTGAGCCTTCCATTTGAAGAGACGGGGGGAGTTCATTGTCTTTGTTGGACCGGGAAGGAGGGTGAGGGTATGGAGCTGGTTCTTTCCTGGGCCCCCCTATCCGCGTCCCACGCCATCGCCACTAAAAAGAATGGATCTGATTGGGGAATTGGTGGGGGTCCCAGACGATGACTGGCCAACTACATGTTGCTCTGAGCAACGGGGGTGTGTAGGCGGTGAATTTTGGCAGAATTACGAACACTCCACCCCCCTCCAGCTTGCAGCCTTGCCCCTTCCCCCCGTCCTGTCGGTGCCAGGCTTTTCTTTTTCTTGCCTATTGGATGTTGACCAAGAAAGGTTCAAGGGCCGCAGCGCCGCACCGGGACCTTGGCCCAAAGCAGCGACGAACAAAATGCAAGATGCACGCCTGCCCTCTCCTGCTTTTTCTTCTTCCTAGGCCCGCCGGCTACGACTGGATTCTAGGTGCGCGCCAATGCGGGTCGCCCAGAACTTGCAGGAGCACAGCAAGGGTTGTCGCCTTGGTCTCGACTTCCTCGCTAAAAGCTTGACTGGGGTCTCCCTGACAACCATTTCAACCAACTCCGGGACTGGTTGCCCGCTACGGTTCGGCTCCTTGAGTTGAAGGTGCGTTCCACTTCCCGTCCTCCTGCAATCCAGCAAATCCAAGACGCTCGAATTGCAAAATGAAGGATCCTGACACTGTCTGGACACTCCTCTTTCGAGCCTTGACCGTCTTTGGTCTCTTGGTCCATAGCATCACGATGAAAGAAGACAACTGACACCGACGCTGCTTACTTTACTGGGTTTCCAACTTGCAAATGACTAGGTGGCCAGGTAGGGATCACTCGCCGGCCCCCAATCGCAATTCGCACTCCGCTTCAGCCCACAGGAGGGATTGTCTGCAATTTGCAACTGCAGCCGATGAATGAATCAATCACAACCCGCGCCACATATGGAATCGTTTCCTGTCTTGTCGCAACTCTCATCTGACCTGCACAATGAGACTGGATGAAGCTGCAACAAGTTCGGACGCGCTGCTCTGTTTCGTCTCAGCCTCTCCTGAGCCCTGAGTCCTGCTCCAACGCTCTTGGCTGTCCCATGAGACATGGTCTCTCCATTATTCCGTGAGTGTACCTACAACTACCGGTCCGACTCGAGGGAGGCATTTCTTCAGCCAGCTTCAATCTTGAGCATGAATCTTGACCCATCCATGCACCCCGCAGTGTCTCCCATTGTATCTCCAAAAAAAAAATCGACGTCATGCTGCCAAGCTGTTTGGTGAGGGAGGATGGATTCGAATTTCGAGCAAGACCACCAACGAAGAACGCCTATCCCTACGGACCGCGACTCATCATCTCATTTCAAACATTACCAAAGAAAGCACCGACGCAGTGTGCCAGTGCGACAAAGGAGATTATCGCAATGAGATGCCATACCGATCCGCCAATCCGTCAATCGTGTCTCGCCGACTTTGCAGATTCCAGGAGAACAAATTTAGAACACGCCGAGATTTAGCAGGCGAATATCGATTTGCATACCCAGTTTTCATCTTGTCATGCATGTGGCTGAGGGCGGAAGTTGTTACGGTGCATCCCCGTACTGTGGTTGCGTTGTAGCACTAACAACGTACAGTGGTACGCTCGCTGTGTTCTCCGTATGTACAGAGAAAAAGTCGCCCTCCCAATGCAACCCCCTATCCATACCTTATGTTCATCCCTGATCAACGCTACCTCCTGAACTCGTGGCTGCGAGGTGGTAGGTATTATACATTCACCCACTTAGTCCAACCCAACTCCCAAGCTCCGCATAACGGCGTATCTAATCGCTTCCAAAAGGCGCCGCATCGCTTAGATAGATTGGCGCTTTCGATGGCAAGACCTTGACGCGTCCCGTCTTACCCAACACGGCCCGCAGCCGACAAGAATAGTCTCCTGGTCTCAGCAAACTTCACGACAACGGCAAGCCACATTCCTAATAGATTCATGCCGGTTCATGTACTGTGCCGTTTTCTCACTCCCAATCACTTCCTCGGTCGCTCAATGCTCGAGGCAAGAAGAGGAGAGAGAGGGCAGTTCGATGCTTTTGGGCATGCGCAAACTCTATAGTCACAGTCGCACGGCCTACTTGTCCAGAGACGTGGTCACCATGACTGACTGCAAAACGCAATTCCGGTCTGGAGTTCTTCAGCGAGACTATTGTACTGTTGTAATTGCCCAACTGTGTGCAATTCAGAGGATTCTGGTTAGGCACTCGCTGCTGAAATTGGAAGCTTCTTGCGTTTGAAAACCTGTCAATAGTCCAAGGGGCAGTGCACCGCCAACACCTGAGAATACGAGCTGAGGATCAAACAACATCAGATGTCGAGCAAAGCAACACATCGTCCTTTGAGGAACTTTACGAGAGTCGTCACTCTGCAGCCAGCCAATGAAGACAAATTCGGAAGGGAATCGGCTGACCCGCCGCCGTCGAGTTGTACAAGTGCGCCCCTCACGGTGGAGACAAGCATCCGTTGGCCCCAAAGTGCTCCGGCGGCTCCTTTCAAACTCAAGCACATCCTCCTGACCTCTCACCGTCCCGGAGGCCCCAGGAAGCCCTCCGGCACCGGCGGCCTGAGTAACATTATCCCCGAACTGGCGGTGGAACCTTGCAACCTCAACTCAACACCGAGGCGTGGGACGGCTACCTTTGAACGCCCGACAACTTCTACGAATACTCCGTTCACTTCGAGTAGTTGATCAGGCTCAAAAACGCGGTCGACAAGTGCACCGCTCCAGCGTGCGGAGTAATCACGCCTCGGCAAGGGTCCTGCGTTGACTGAGGGCTGCATTACAACGGCTTCTTGCTTGCCTCAGAAAGTCGGTGGACAGGAGGCCTGATGCATACAGGGCCACGGTACGCGGTACTGGCTTTGCCCTAGCTTGGTCGCCGAGGCGGGAACTTTGCCTATCTCTACCTCGCACGAGCCTAGTGTGAAGAGTTGCAGGCCAAAGGCTATATGCGGCTTGTGGTTCAGACTTCCCTTCACCTAAAACTGGCCACTCAGATTTGACGCTTTTGTCAAACACCGTCACTTGATCAACAGTCACCTCGACGCCCAGCTCCCACGACCCCGCATAAGGTAGTCTGACTTGCGACAAGACCCCCCGGTGGCTAGTCGAACCTCGTGGTCACTCGTTCGTGTGTCAGGTCCGGTCGACCACATACCCTTACTTTGCGTTCACTTTTCCTCGCCTATCTTTTTCCTTTCTTCTTCTTCTTCTTGCTGCTTCACCTACTTATATCGTGCTCCATCTCATCCACATCGTTGTAAATCCGCCGCTCGAATTCACCCCTTCCCATCCTCTTGAGCCTGGCGGCTGTGCATATTAGTGCCCATGCGTCTCAACATCTCGTAAGAACAAGAAAAGCCAGCCATGTCCGTCGCTATCACTACCTCGTCGGCCTCAACTCTCCTCCATGAAGAGCCAATTGCCTCCCCCAATGCCTGCGGCGTGGGGCTAGAACTCGATCAGGCCTCCGTGAGCTGCGTCCTCAAGCAGGAAGCCATTTCTGTCACTCTCAATGGCCCCGCCATCTTCACATTGTCTATGACTCTGGCTCTCATCATCCACTTCTTCGAACCCAGGATCGCCGAGACCCTTCTTGTCATCATCCCCATCCTGCTGCTCGTGCGGAACGACTACCACAACTTCCTCGGCCTCGGACCGGGCGGCACACCGGCCACGTTCCAGGGCTACGTTCGAATAGCCTGGCTGCGGCTCTGGGCACTCCGAGACCCCTTTACGGCGCCCGAGGCGAGGCCAAACATCCTCCCGAAGCGAGGCATCCTCCGCCAGAATGGAGACCTCACCCGACTACCATATCGTCCCGGTCCCCGACCCCAGGTCGCCGGCATCGCGCCGCAGAGGCAGCTGGATCAGCATGGCACGGTGCCGCACTACCACGCCCTCCGCAAGACGTTGCAGAAGCTCGCGGCCGCGAACCCGGGAACATTCGGTACCGCGAGGTCCTGTCTCGAGAAGCACGGCCTGGCACTGTTTGCGCGGCACCCCGTCAACGTTACGTGCAACGGCGAGGTTTGCCACGTCCACGACTCGGACCACAGCTTGCACATGAACCTCCATCCCGAAGACATTCGAGAGGTGCTGGCCAAGGGCTGGGGCCAGCGGCATCCGTTAGCGTGGAAGGGGACGTTGGTGAGGATGCCCGTGCCGGAAGAGTTCGTCATGGTATATGCTCCGCGAGGTACGTTTCTTCACACACACACATGATGATTTTTTTTTGGATTTTGGAAAGAAAACGCTGCCTTGCTCTCCAAGGCGGCGGCGGGTGACGGCTAGATGTCACACAGTTCCCTCTTTTTTCTGGTTCCAGCAGAGAGCCAACAACGAAGGCGAACAAGAATTTATACATCGTCGCGGGAAAGGGAGAGGAGGAGAGAAGAAATCAGGTCTGGCCCATACCGTTTTTCACCAATGCTGACTGTATCTTACAGATGACCACGAGTTGAGAATCGTGTGCAAGATCATTGAGGCGGCTATATGGTACGTCGTTTCCGAGCGAACAGACATCCAAGCCGAGAGGGCCGCTTGAGACTCTTCCTCGAGCAGTCTTACGCTACTCGCTTTGAAAGCGCTTATCAAGACACACATACACGCACACACAGATAGTTTACAGCAATCAAAAATCAGGAGTTGTTGATTTTTTCCGTTTGACAATTGGCATGAAGTTGAAATTCGGCCTGGAGTTGGAGGAGTCTTGATAGAACAGAAACAAGTAGATGAAACAAAAAACAATTTGACTCATTGACATCTTCGTCTTCTTCACGGGCGATGAATGTATCTGTTCAATAATGAGTAGAACCTCGAATACAGGGATTGCAGGTGTGGGAGAGCTATCGAGACAAGGATACTGAATATGCCCTCACTCTACATCTCTTACCCCTTCCTTTCTTGTTAGCCAAAATACTGGCAAGTTTAATGCTTCGCTTCTCTCTCCCCTCATCGATGTATGAGCCGTCTCAGTTGATAACCCTCCTTGCATTGCGTTTTGGCCGTTCAAAAAGCAAGGCAAACGCGGTCTGGAAGTTTGAACGAAACGTTTGAAGCTGCCCAAAATTGATATGGTATTCTGCCATTGAAGGCTCTTCTTTCCGCACCATGCGTCCTTGCGGTCTGCAGTAATACAATTCTATATATACAAGCCTTCCAATCCGGAAACCAACCGTCCCAAACAAGATAAGACGAAATCCATAGAGTACCTAGTCGCTATCGCTGACCTGTCCCCTGGACATCTTGAACTTCTCCCTCGGCTTCGCTATACTCGCCTCCACGATCCGCCCGTCAAATGCCCGCCCGTGCATGAGCTGGATACACGCCTGCGCGGCCTGCGTATCCGAGAACTTGACCGCTACCACGCCGTCCGGCTCCTCGTCGTAGAGCACCACGTTGGTAACCCTCCCCAATTTCCCGCACTCGTCGCGAATGTCCTCCTTGATCTCCACCAGCGCCGCCGGGTCCTCCTCCAGCTCCGCCAGCGTGAACATGTGCCGCAGGATCACCGTCCGATTGCGCTTCGAGGTGCTTTCTACGGGTGCCGCCGCCACGTCGTCGTCGCTCCAGTCCGCCAGCTTCGCGGCCATCTTCTGCGTCTTGCGGATAATCTTTTGCTTGTCCCCATTGTTCGTGCTCCGCTGTGGCCGGGGGGCAGCAGCGTCTCCCCCTTTCTTATCCCCCCCTTCCGCGCTATTGGTGTCCTCGTCATACTTTGTCTTCTTATAACTCGAGTCGGCAGCCTGGACCTTCATCCTGGGCGTTGCCCCCGCCGGCCCCGGCTCGAAGCGGAACTCGGTGTCGTCCAGCAGCATAATGGCCATCTCGACGCTCTGCGGCTTGAAGAAGACGACGAGCGCGTCGCCCTTGAAGTTGCCGGCCTCGTCCGTGTACATCTTAATGCGCGGCCGGCCGCTGTCAATCTCCTCGGCAATCACGCCGGCTTTTCGGGAGAAGAGGTCATGGACCTCGTCCACAGTCGCATCGGCGGGTAGACCCGTGACGTAGACGGCTGTGTTCTGGCGCGGCGGCGGCGGTGCGCGCGCTGGCTTCGCCTTCTTTGCTGGCCGCGCCCTGCCGTTGCCGTTGTCGTTACCGCCATTACCGTCACCGCCGCTCTGTTGTCTGTCCGCGCCGCCGCTGCTGCTGCCGTTGCCGCCCGCATCTCCTGACGTGGGCGAGTCCTTCCGTTTCCTTGGGTTATTGCTGCCTCCATTGCTGTAACTCGGGCCGGCGCCGGCTCTCGACAGGTCTGCCAGTTGCGCCGCAGTCTCGTCTTCGTCGTCGAGTGGTTCTATGGGCTCGTCCGCGGCCTCGGCCCACGTGGATGTCGCCGGGTCGAACTCGAGCTCGGTGCCGTCGTCGAGGACGGCCAGGTACTTGTTGTCAAGCTTGGAGAAGGAGATGCGCTCGTCGCTGCCAAAGTCCTCGACGAACGTCGGTAGAGGGTCCTTCAACTGATCAGCCATCGTGAGAAGGGTTGCTGAGGGCTTCAGGGCAAGAATCCCTCGAGGTAAAAACTTTTGAACGCTGTGAAGGTTTGGTGTGATGTTCAAAGTGTCTGAAATTGGAATGCACCTTTTGGCTTGAATCTAGGCACGAATTCCGATCGCATTCTCCAGTGACGTTAGTGGGCCAACGGTGCAGGGACTGGGGTCAACGTGGGGTCCTGTCGTCCCTCAACCTTGGGTACGTACCCAACAACACGATTTTCCAGGTTCCATGTTCTCCCATACGTCGGGAGTAGGTGTAATCGGAATGAATTACCTGCTAAATAACAAATAATTTATACGGATAAATGTACTTATGGAAAATGCTCTCGATACTGGAAGCGAGGTAAAATCAGCATTTGGCGGCTTCGAACAGACATGTCGAATGTGCTGTCTGTCTTTGTAGAACCTCATTTGTGTCAATCAGTTGCTGGGGCGTGTGTCGACTTCCTTACCTTACCCTAACCCTAACCCTAACCCTAACCCTAACCCTAACCCTAACCCTAACCCTAACCCTAACCCTAACCCTAACCCTAACCCTAACCCTAACCCTAACCCTAAAAAACGCGGATAGATTAAGGATTAGAGGACTATTTTTAAAAGAGGGGGATAGTACTTACTTCCTTTACCGTAATATTAAAATAAAACGACTAAGTAATAAATTAGATTATAAAAAACTTAGACTTTTCGAAATTATTAAGAAAGTCTTATTAGTTAATTACGAATTAAGATTATTAGATACGATACGATATTATCCCGTCTTTTATATTTTATTACTCGAGCCTATATTAAGAGGTTCGTATATAGAAGATTATATTATTATCGAACTAAATTAATTAGAGTATAAAGTTAAGCGAATTATTAACTATAGAGTTAGGAATATAATATAAAAATTCTTTATTAAATAGAAAGGCTATGGATATAAAAAAAATATATAAGAACCTATTATAAACCTCTAGAACTCTTAGGAATCCCTTTTAGAATACTAAAATTAAAATTAAAACCGGAACTCTTAATTATTATAGCGTCCTAGTTAATTACTCTAAAAGTATTATTAAACTGTGCCTCCTACGTAATAGCCGACTTATTTTTAATAATAATATTAAGAGGATTAGGGATCGTTTTCCCCCTCTTAAATACTATCTTTTTTTTTTTTTAAAAACGATTTAATTTTAATAAAGACTTATTTATTTTAGCCTATATACGGCATAAGGCCTTTACTCGTTTTTAAAAAAGAAGCTCTTTTATTTTTTTTTTATATTCTAGCTTATTAGCTTTAAATAAAAAACGATTTATTACGAATACGATTAATATAGAGAAATATTTATAAAAAAAAAAAAAACTTATAATCGTATATAGTACTAGTAGTTGTGTTATAAGAACGATTATGATGTATATATTTATAATACCTTAATTTACTTTCTAATATTTTATATCTTTGCCCCGATAAGTGATAAAATGAATAAGGTATTATTATTTTGAATCCTCGTTCCTTAATTTTAAAAGTAAGCTTTAAACGACGATATATCGAAGATTTAGTAAATATTTTAGTATTTTAAGAGAACTACTTAACGAGCCCTAACTTAAGCTATAATGACTTACTTATAGGTTTATAGGATAAGACTTTTAAAAAGGAGACCTAATATTACGACTTAATATATATAACTAAGACTAGGGCCTGCCCCGTAGGCTTATAGTAGCTGCGGTATACTATATATATAAGAATACGGGAATATAGGGTAACTCTTATAGAATAGAAGAACTATAAATAAGTTATATATAGATAAGAAACGGTAATTATATAATAAGGTAATTACTATAATTATTCTAAGTAAGCGCTTATTAATATTTACTAAGCAATTACTTAACGAATAAGAGTAATTATTAATAAGGGATATGTTTACGGTTAGATTTATATATAGTATAGACTTGAGCCGGGCTTAAGGATAGACTTCCTATAGCTTTTTTAGTAATTAACTTAGTATTAGATCTTATAATCGTTTTTAGCTATTTTTACTAAGAACTCCTCTTAATAAGACTATAATTAATTACCGAAGCCTTACTTACTTTACGACTTATAGATATAGCTTCGGGGAAGCTATTTACGACTACGATACTATTTACTTAGTATTTGTAGCCTCAACTTCTATTAATATACTTACTACGACTAGCTAGCCGTAATATACTCGTAGCTTTAACTTTTATTAATATACTTATTATAACTAGCTAGCCGTAATACTAGGTAACTAGTTAGAGGTTTTTAATACTTAGGTTTTAATACCCTTAGTAAGTTTCGGCCGTCTAGCGTATAGTTAATAACTAACTTAGAACTAGTATAAATAAAGGGAATCTAACTATTTAATTAAAATATAGTATTGCGATAGTTAAAAAGTAGTATTAACGTAATATAATTTCTACCTAGTGCTCTGAATATTAAAATAAAGGAATTTAACTAAGCGCGAGTAAACGGTAGGAGTAATTATAACTTTTTTAAAGTAGCTAAATACCTCGTTATTTAATTAGTAATGCGCATAAATAGATTAACGAGATTCTTACTATCCCTATTTACTATTTAGTAAAACTATAGCTAAGGGAACGGGCTTAGTAAAATTAGTAAGAAAAAAAGACCTTATTGAGCTTAACTCTAGTTTGATATTATAAAAAGATATAAGGGGTATAGGATAGGTAGGAGCTTTGGTACTAGTAAAATACTACTACCCTTATTATTTTTTTATTTATTTAATAAAGCGGGGCTAGATTTACGTCTAACTTCTAGTTTTAAGGTCCTTCGCGGGCCGACCCGGGTTAAAGATATTGTTAGGTAGGGAGTTTAGCTAGGGCGGCATATTTATTAAACTATAACGTAAGTGTCCTAAGGGGGGCTTATAGAGAATAGAAATCTCTAGTAGAATAAAAGGGTAAAAGTCCCCTTGATTTTGATTTTTAGTGTGAATATAAACTATGAAAGTGTGGCTTATTAATCCTTTAGTCCCTCGAAATTTAAGGCTAGAGGTGCTAGAAAAGTTACTATAGGGATTAAATATAAGAGATTGTTTCTCGTTATTAATTATAGTACTAAGTATATCTGGGTATTTAATTACTTAATTAAGTACCTTATTATAAAATCGAAATAGAATTAATTATAATATTACAATAGTTACTTAGGATATAAATATATATAGAGTTATAATTTTTTAAAAATAATTATAACGAATTAATATATATACTTTTTATTTAGTTTTATTTTAAATAAGTTTATTATATTTACTTCTTATATTTTTTATTAAATCTACCCCCCTATTTTAACGTCTTATTTTAAACTTATTAAGTATTTTTTACTAATTCTATTATAATTAATCGTGTTTACTAAGTTAGGATATTAACCGATTCTAAATACTTATACTATATAATAGTACTCTTAGATACTTCGTTAGTCTCTATACCCTCAAAAATAATACCTAAAAAAGAAGTGTGAGTGTGTCTAAGAGAACTACCTAAAATAGGCAAGTTAGATATTATTACTATTAGCTATAGCTAAAAGCGAAGGCATTAAGAGCCTCGTTGGTAATGCATAGTTCACGTACTCTATCCTTAGTTATAAATCAGAGCCCTACTTAGTTATACAGGCTGGGAGCGCCATTCCGGTCTGTCCGATGCCACCTCATCCTCTGTGGGAAGGTGAGCGTAATAGGCAAATGCTTATCTGACATTCATGAGAGCGCCCAATTGTCCTTCACAGTCAGGATTGCCTAGTAACTATCTCTCATCATGAGACCGTTCCAGTTCCTAGTGTCTCTACCATCTCCCTCCTTCCTATTGGGACCACTGCAAATCCATTTTGTCATCGTCGCGTGGAAGACGATGAATCGCTCAGTCCTTCGTCCGGCTTGCCATCTCAAATTCTTCATGCCTTACAGGTCTACTTGATGTGATCCACTTGCATCGTAACGGCCCTTGGGATATTTTGCCCCCACATCCACGTGTAGACTACCATGGGGGCACCAGCCGAATTCAAAGTAACCTTGCGTCTTTTTTGTCGAAGTGGCCGCGTGTTCCGATGAGATAAGGAGCCATACTCGACAACCATAACATTGAGATACCGACTGACCGGTTCGTCATCTGCTCATAGTCCATACGTCGGGCTTACAGGCGTAGCCTTTTGCCCCGACACAGAAAAACGATTTTCCTGTCACATCGTCGTCAAAAACAAAAGTTCAATCAAGCACGTTTGGAGCAAAAGTTCGGGCGACTGAGCACGTCAAGGACAAAAGTGCAAGGACCGGGATCCACCCCCACCTAGGGCCAGCAAATGAGCGTCGGGTGCTTCATCTTAGAACCCCTGCCGACTCTTCATCAAGACAAGCCAGGGTATCGCAACTTCGATAGATGGCATGAGTTGGGATGTTGGGATGTTGGGATGGGTGGCCGAATCCGCCAGCAGTCGTCCCAAAGTCTCGGCCACATCTTGGCAAGGCTTAAGACATGACCTTCCCGCCTGGGCATTGCTTGGGACACCCTCTTTCCGTTAATGGGCCGAGCAGCCGGAGAACATGTCCACGTCTGCACATTACCAGTAGAAAGAAGCCATCACAAAACCTTGGAATTTCCGGGGAATCCCTATCACGTCAGTAACCTTTTGATAGGGACCTTCCTAAAAGCTCGTAGTTCTCTTTGTGGAGTGGCGTTCCAATCAGCCGGGCTCGCTCGAAGACCCCAGCTCAAGTCCAGACTACATGCAGCAATCCTTGTCGAGCGGCATCCAACAGCTGGTCTGTCCTACAACAGCTTCAAGGCCCTCAATTGCACCAATGCCGGTCCTTATCACGACATCGAACCCCTTATCACTAAGACAGTCAATATCGGATCAGTCGTACAACATGGGTCGACACTCAGCAACAGGCTGAAGCATAGAGTACAAAATGACCACGTTTGCCTTCCCCTTAAGTGTGCGGAAATCCCGAACTTCTAGCACTCCAGGTTGGCAAACCGATCCTTTTGTCTGAGTTACTAGTCTGTCTGATTCTTGCCTTTCCTGCCCTGGTCTGTGCTTTTCCGTTGCGACTATGCCGGTGCCATTGACAGATGCCATCGTGGTGGGGGGGCTGAATCCCGTAGAGGGCAAAATTGTTTCGGTCCCCTCTCACCAAGCCATCAACGAGAAAGTCAGCATCGACGAGTCAGGGGTTGGAAAGGAACTGGCTTCCGAAATCCAGGCCATTCCGGCAACTACGACATCCGACGATGGGAACCACGAGAAAGACGACAACAGCGACAATGCCATCATCATCACCGGTGCCGACGCTGCCCGATACTTACTGCCGCTCCGAGATGACTTCGACCCTGCGTTGACCTTTCGGAGTATGTTTCTGGCAACTTGCCTCTCGGCTTTCCAGGCTGTCATGAGTCAAATCTACACTGTGAGCTTTTTTTTTTTCTTACGTGGTGACTCGGACGTGGGACGAGCTCTGGCTGAAAAAATGCTCTACTTTATCTACCAGTTCAAACCGACCGCCGTCACCATTTCCGGAACTTTCATCGTTCTCATCGGCTACTTCGTGGGCAAGGCGTGGTCCAAGGTCTTCCCTCGTGGTGATAAGCTTGAAGCTCGTTGGAGGCAGGACCATCCCGAAGGCGAACTTCCGGCGTACGTCAAGATCTTCAAATTTCTCAACCCGGGTCCCTGGGGGCTGAAAGAACATGCGATCTGCTCCATCACAGCCACATCTGCGTCCAATGCCGCCGCTAGCATCCAGGTATTTGCGGCACAAGATCTCTTTTACGACTTGCCTCTGAGTCCGACCACCGTTGTCTTGACCGTCATCTCCATTGGCCTCTTTGGCTACGGCATTTGTGGTGTCATGCGCCCCATCGCCGTGTGGCATGTCGATGCTGTCTATTGGAGCACTCTCCCTACAGTAAAGACCCTCCAAGGTCTTCATTGGCAAGATTTGAAGAACTCCAAGCCTCTGCGTTGGTTCTGGTACAGTTTCGCAGGAATGTTTGTTTACGAATTCTTCCCGGCATACATCTTTCCATGGCTGAACTCCGTTTCCATTCCATGCCTCGCTGCCATGAACGCCACAGGTTCAAAGGCTGCTGTTCTTACGAACCTTTTTGGCGGCTCTATCAACAATGAAGGTTTAGGCCTCTTCTCTCTGTCTTTCGACTGGCAATATGTGAGGGAACCAATCATCGTTTCAGCATAGTTGCTTGAAAACTAACGTATCACCAGATTACTTCATTCAACACTTCACTTCCTCTGACTCTGCAGGCTCACTCTGCTATTGGCTTCTTCATTTGCTTCCTTGCAATGATTGGAATCTACTACACAAACGCCTGGGATGCCAAGTCGCAGCCTTTCATGTCGACGCGACTGCGATCTGAGGACGGTACTGCTTATCCCATTGCCAAGGTTTTCACTGGCGGTGTGCTCAACCAGGACGCCCTCGCCAAGTATGGCATCCCAAGACTCACAGGCAGTTTTGCGTACGCGATGTTCATGGCCAACGCGGCGGTGAGTTATACAGTCCATATGCTACTAGGAACGAAGGC